CCATACCAGTACTGGTAGAATAGAAGGAAAAGCAACTACTTATTTTAAAAGTCCTGTCTATTTGCATAAACGTCTTAAATTCAAGATCATTTGTTCGAAAAGAATACTCTCTATTAGGAGAAACCTACCACCAGCCTTAAACAAAAGCTAATGTTCTATAGTCTTGAAAAGTCACTTTCTAGATCTCAAAGGGTGATCCAGTCACTACAGGTCAACAGTAGACAGTTCAACTTGAAGTACTCAGCATTGTATTGACATTGTACCAGGTGAGTTTGTGACCTTGTGTCAGGTGAGTTTGTGACCTTGTGTCAGGTGAGCTTGTGACCTTGTGTCAGGTGAGTTTGCTATTTCCGAGCATGAATTTATTCTAGTGACTTTCAAGTCTTCATGTAAAATACTGTACACGTATTGACTCCATGTCAGGTTTCCCCTGAATCGCAACAAAAAGGAATAAAACAATAGAGTGCGATTCCACAACAATTTCACACCATGTAAGAAATGCTGATAAAGTCCAATTGTATTTCGTTGAAATCAAAGTGCTATTCATAATGTGTTTTGATCTTTTGCCATTTAAATGTACAATAGACAATCTTTCATCACTAGAGTGTTACAGCGTAGCTTACTTCTATTGGTAAAGTGGCCATACCTGATAAAGTTAAAGGTATACCTCTAGAAGTAGAAGGTACAAAGTTATGACAACACAGCCATCACGTTCATACTCCATTATTGATTACAAAACTCATGTACACAATTGAAATGGAACTCATGTGTAACCAATAGAATGACAAGGTTTACTGCAATGATAACATAGATAGACTGTTACATATAGTCAAATTATACCACCACAGATTGTCCAGAGAATTTTGGCACTGTAAAGGGGTCTCAATCTGATGATATACCAAAGATAATGAAGGGGATTTTGTGGTAAAATATATGGGAAAATAGATAGCAGTTTCCTGTATCTGAACTACTGCCCTGTGAGCTAGGAACAGCACCAGGTATATTGAATATAACACTCACGAAAACCAATAAAAAATCAACTCTGTATCAATCTTATCGATTTGAATTATTCTGAGCTGGTAAATACTCTTCCATTAGGGCAAGCACAGTGCAAGTATATAACTCTTTCATCAATTATAGATTGGCATAAGATTTGAGATTTCAAGTAATTTGGTTCTTCAAACTTTAAGCTTAGTCAGTGGATACATACTAAACCATGCAATATTATAATTATATAACGTACAGAATAATTAGATTTATTTTCCCTACTTTATGATTATTCAGCATTCCTACTGCAATCAAATGATTTCTACACCTTATATTTAATTAGAGCACTACATACAATTGTGCTGTCTACCGGATCAATAATTACACCAATGTTATATCAGCTGTTGTATGATATTTTCATAACCCACCCATTATTTATTAACTAAACGTGGTGAATAAATGCATGTGCAGCATAAATGTCACAATTGGTAAAGAAAGACATTTTCTGATATTTATACATTTTACTTCTCTCTTTACAACTCACTCCCTATCTTACTCTTTACAACTCCCTCCCTGTCTTACTCTTTACAACTCCCTCCCTATCTTACTCTTTACAACTCACTCCCTGTCTTACTCTTTACAACTCCCTCCCTATCTTACTCTTTACAACTCCCTCCCTGTCTTACTCTTTACAACTCCCTCCCTATCTAACTCTTTACAAATCCCTCCCTGTCTTAATCTTTACAACTCCACCCCTGTCTTACTCTTTACAACTCCCTCCCTATCTTACTCTTTACAACTCCCTCCCTATCTTATTCTTTACAACTCCCTCCCTGTCTTACTCTTTACAACTCTGCAAGTATACACTCTATACGGTTCAATTCTATTACCATACAATTTTCTATCTTAAGGTGAGTTTGCTCTTTTAAAAGATTGTCGCTATAAATTATTTACAATTAATTGATGTTCATAGTTTGAAATGCAGAAATGATAGTGCAGACCAAATCTGCAGGATTTAATCTTTAGATCCTATTTCAATATATTCAAAAATGTATGATGTATGTACAAACGTCCTATAGGTGTCGATCACCTCTGATTGTACAGGGTAGTGATGGAACCTGATTTTGAACATCTCCATCGGATTTTGGCAGTTACCCTCCATAAAATCCAGCAAACCTGTCATGTATGGAAATCTACAATTGTATACCTGTGCATTAAAATTGCACATTAAAGAAATGTTCTACATGTATGTGTAGGTTAATTTTACTCAATGGTACAGCATTGGAAAATACAAATTCTATTGATTTAACTATTTCAAGGAAACCCATTGTTAAATGTGTATGTCTCAGAGGTCATATACAGTATGTATATATATTCCAGAAATATAAACATTGTACTGTTTGACTTCACTTTATGTATTGTTAATATTGATATATAATTATGTTACCAAATAGAAATGGTATTATGACTTCTATACATGTATAATGTTCCACATGATATCCCTGCCAACTCGATTCCCTTCACATATACGCCTCCTCAATATATCTGAAGTTAACTTGTTTTACAACATTGGACATTCATCACCACACAACCCTTTATGTTTTTCATGGCCTAAATGTAACATTACACTGACAACAGTAAACGTAATTTCAGAAAAAAAATCTTTTTAGGTGGTACATCTAATTTACATGACTTCTCCTTTTTTAAGATAAATATTATCACTGCAGCAATCTGTACTATACTTCCAAGTTCATTTCAGAGTGGGGCTTTGGGGCTATAATCCCTTTTTCAAATGAAAAGCCACACTTTTACGACTGAAGTGTGCCCATGTAACGTCACACTATAATATGTATGGTAAGATATACACAGGGATAAAACTAGAAATCTGGAAAAGCCTACTTTGAAAAACCCTGGAATAAAACTTGATTGGATCATTGCTTTACTTACAATTTACTCTGAGCAAATTGATTCTAGTACTGCTTTCTCTGGTCTGAGCACAGGACCAGCACTTAACTTGGTACCAACTTACAATGTAGTATTGGGCCTTACTTTCCCAGTCTGAGCACAAGACTGGTACTTAACTCAGTACCATCAAACTTACAATGTACTGCTTGGCCTACTAAATATTACTTTTACTGTCTGAGCACAGGCCTAGGACCAGCAGTCATACTACAGGAACACACGACCACCAGTTTCGGCTGTTTGCATGTCAGCATTTTTGATTGGTTACACTGCACATGACAACTTATAATCATATAATTTTCAAGTCACTCAAACATTTGTGTTCTACAAATTATACGCTTTATCAGTCAAACACCTCCTGAAGAAGATTACTTTTCTTCTGTACAATTTTTATAGAAGTATCTGAGAGCTAGTCTTTGACTAGGTGATTTAAAGTTCCATGTGTTTTTGATATCACCATGCCAAATATTTGTTTTAATCTGGTAAAGAAAGGGGTTGCTAACTTTTTTTTAATATGGAAAATAATTCAAGAAACATGTTGCAGTTCTAAGGACACGAAAAGGGTAAAAAAAAAATAATATATATATGTACTTATTGTACTCAAATGATTTCTGTCTTATAACAAATTTAAAATACTTAAACAAACATATTTATACATTTATTACACTCCCTAAAGTCTTAGTGTTACCTTAGTTTGAACACAGGATTACCACTTATTACACTCCCTAAAGTCATCTGTGTTACCTTAGTTTGAACACAGGATCACCACTTACACTCCCTAAAGTTACACTGTTAGCTTAGTTATTTTGAACACAGCTAGGACCTCCACTTAACTAATAACCAGTGTTACATTAATTTTAATTCAGGACTGCCACTTACACTTGAGCTCCCATAAGATACGAGTCTTTCCTTAATTAGCATGAACATAGGGCCATCCTGACCACCAATAACAATCCTTTAGAAACACTCTTAGCTTTTGGAACATTTGACAAATGATAAAGGGAATATCAGAAAGTGTTTTGCACTTATGATATTACCACATTACAACTGTAGAGAGATCTTGTTAAAACTTGCTAATTGTAGTAGACTTTGGATGAGTTTCCAAACTCTTATTTACATTTATGTGTACAGAGATATAATCTAGGAACAAAACTGTGTGACCACACAATGCACCAAAATACTGCACATACATTATGTGCTTTAAAACAATCATTCGCCCTGTAGTGCAGACATATGTTTACAAGTGCAAATCTGTTGATCAATATTTATATCTAGGATAAACATAAATGTGTCTGACAGTTATCAAACCACAACAGAACTTAACTGCAGTGCTGAGAGCCGGTACCCTAGAAGATATTCAGTTCAATATAAAGCTTCTCCTGTACTGTATGGCCTGTGTACCATGTAAACAAATAATTATATCCCAGGAAACTGACAAAAATAGTCAAGACTATCTAGATAGTTATGGTGGACTGTAATTGATGATCACATCATAGGTTATGGTACATGCATGGTCACAACACACTAACTAGTTAACTGTACAACCCAATGGAACTCTAAATCATAATATCTTCTATAATAATTAAGTTTGCATTGCAAAATTGGTTCATATATATATACCTACTTAGTTACCACTGACTGGTACAGTACAGACAGTATTTACATTATAGTTACCTATCTAGTAACTAACTCATTAACACAGCAAACAGATATCAATGAAACAGTATTTGTTACAGTACACAGTAAGGTCATATTCTGACTTGTATTACACCTTATTGGTCCTGTCAACATTTCAATGTTTTGATAAGGTTTCCGATCTATTCGATTTCTTGTAAATGAAAGAAGATCCCACACGTCACATGAGCGTGCCAATGAAAACCATATGAAAACATTTAATTCTCACAATTGTGTGGGTCTGTTATGAGATCGCATAAATATAAATTCAAGCTAACTCCACTAGGCCTAGATGGTTTCTCAGTTTGTGAAAGTTCAGGACGTCCCAAACTATGAGCAGTCCGGAACACCTCGGTTTTTATCATAAGGAAACTTACCTTGGAGCATTTGCTCCAACTTTTTCCTGTCAACGCGGAATCTATCCTCGATATATCCTGGTTCGAGTTCATCCTTAGTTCCCTGCAGACAATCGTCACATAATTCCGTGGGAGACTCGCTTAAGTTACTAGAATCTCTCATGTTTATCGGGCGCACTGGCACCGACAACCTGTCCGCCATGGCATTCTGTTGTTATTACAAGAGCGAGGCTTCAGAACTGGGTCACGTCAGTACACACACAAAAGGCCAAGCCAATCAGAATGCGGTGTTCGTCTTAAATGTATATAGGCCTATGCACCGATAGCGAAATGTATCAGACAACCTATATTCTGTTTTCGCTTTTAAAAAGAAATTAACATCAATTGTGATATATTTTCAATAAAAAGATTAGCACACACACGCAAACAAACAAAAATACAAACATAAACTAACTTTGATTAATAGATTAACACTCTGGAAAAGTTACGCCCCACCGCCGCGCCGTGGTCGGTTAGGCATCCGAATGATACTGAGATAGATAGATAGATAATCATATAATGCAGAGGTTGGCCAGATTTTCAAAATTTTGTTGTGGACCATATGTGGACTTCCAACATCAAACCGTTCTTGTCAGTGGTAAGTATCACAAAGAAACAAGAAAGTATTCAAAACATATGTTCATATAATAACCATAAAATTGTCAAAAAGATGATGCACGCACTCATTATTATTGTTTAAAAAACCGATGAGGATTTCCCGCAATTTAACACAGCTATAATCTGAACAATCAATTGATTATATGATGAAAATAAACCGTAATAAACTCGTGAAATGATTCTATCTGAGTGCATTAAATCCTACGTAAAGGAACTCGCATGAAACCCTCTACATGTATGTATTAAACAATAGAAAAGCTAAACCTCGGGTATTGAATAAAGATACCAATCAAAGTTTGTGTCCAAATGACATAACACGTTCTTTTGTGTGAAGATTTATATAACATAAAAACAGCAAAAAATATACACAACCTAATCATTGAAGGCTAACCAAGGTACCTCGATGGAGGCTTATGTATGGTCATTCGTATATTCCGTAATATGCTGTTTTATTCCGTATGTTGGGGAACGAAAACAAATCAGAATCTTCAGCACCTGTGATAACAGAGAAATTGCAGGAACTTAATGTGATCGTATCTCGCTTAACTAATCAATTTATGCGTGTAATTTTTATTGCCGGAAAATATGTCATATACAGTCCTTTTTTGTCAAGTAATACACATTCCGACAAAGTAAACGTTTCAATGAATGGCGCTGTCAGCATTCCATATGCTTGCATAAACAATCCTAATTATATATATAAAAAAAAGAGTTCACAAACATACCTTGAGGAAGAAATGCATGTTTATTTGGTTACGTTAACGCTGGCTAGTCTGCTTCTTGCCGATGCGAAGATATGCGTGTTTGTACAAGCAGGTAATTAATCAGAAAGGACTCAGCTGCAGCCAAAATGCCACTCCGACAACACATTGAACATTTGAACGATTGAAGCAATGCATGCGGCTTTTCTGTCAGACCTCGGGACGTAGTAGCAGTTCCACGTTGGTTTGGTAATTTGTCAATTGCGATGCGTTTATTTGGAACTCTAATAACTCAACCGCCATTAACACTGTCGGAATCATTTTTCATTATTCGCGTTTCCACAAGGGGGGATACAGAAATCCACGATTTTGTGGAGGATTCCCTATCAGTTGCTTTATGCAATGGGACACAGCAACCAATTTCTTTGCTAAAGTCTCAGACCTGAGGAGTCTATTATCCTTGGGACTCCAGAGATGATGTCCACCAAGATCCCCCATCCTCGAGACTCCAGAGACGTTGTCCGCCGAGATCCCCCATCCTCGACACTCCAGAGGCGTTATCCGCCGAGATCCCCCATCCTCGACACTACAGAGACGTTGTCCGCCGAGATCCCCCATCCTCGAGACTATAGAGACGATGTCCGCCAGGATCCCCCGTCCTCGACACTCCAGAGACGTTGTCCGCCGAGATCCCCCATCCTCGAGACTATAGAGACGATGTCCGCCAGGATCCCCCGTCATCGACACTCCAGAGTCGTTGTCCGCCGATGTCTCTCATCCTCGACACTCCAGAGACGTTGTCCGCCAAGATACCCCATCCCTGAGACTCCAGAGACGTTGTCGCCCAAGATACCCCATCCTCGAGACTATAGAGACGTTGTCCGCCAAGAAACCCCATCCTCGAGACTCCAGAGGCGTTGTCCGCCAAGATACCCCATCCTCGAGACTCCAGAGACGTTGTCCGCCAAGATCCCTCAACCTCGAGACTCCAGAGACGGTGTCCCCCAAGATACCCCATCCCCGAGACTATAGAGACGTTGTCCGCCAAGATACCCCATCCCCGAGACTCCAGAGACGTTGTCCGCCATGATCCCCATCCTCGAGATCAAGGGTTCCGGTCCTTATACACACATCTTTCCTGCACCCCTGAAATATGCCATGACAAAATCAAAGTCTCTTTAGTAAACTAGTTTAATGTCTTTGACGAAGAGCAATGAAAAAAAAGGTTACATCGACAGACGTAACTCCTCTAAAACCTACGAAGGACAGAAATTAGCCATTATCTGAAACCAATCAAATGACTTACCGCGAGCCTTTGATTTTGTCACGATATATTTAAGGGTAACAGAGAAGATATATATCGAGAGCGAATCTCTTGGATTCGAGGATGAGGTCCCCAGACCGAGTTTTCGAGTCCGATCCTGGAATACACTCGTTCGCATTAAGTGGAGTATCGTTCCGTTGTTTGCTGTGCCTTTATTACTTCTTTGCTCACAAACATATTAAAGTATTTACGTACCCAACACACATTTGGTTTTTTCTCGGATCCAGTGTCCATATTGGACCATGTTGTCGTCATTACTTGTGTTAAATAAACGTAACACACACAGGTAACACCTTTAACAATAGTTACAGTATGCATTTAAGTATCGTATAGATGTTACTAACACACACATGGAGCTGGCAATACATCGACAGTGACTGGACGAATCATTGGTCGGATCGGAAAGGCGGCTCGTAGTCTGACTTCATTCAAACGCCCTAACAAACCCGATGCTGTTGACTGCTACGTTTATGCTATGTTTAGTCGACTCGGGACTATCGTGATTGTGCTATGTTTAGTCGACTCGGGACTATCGTGATTATGCTATGTTTAGTCGGCTCGGGACTATCGTGATTATGCTATCTTTAGTCGACTCGGGACTATCGTGATTATGCTATGTTTAGTCGACTCGGGACTATCGTGGTTATGCTATGTTTAGTCGGCTCGGGACTATCGTGATTATGCTACCTTTAGTCGACTCGGGACTATTGTGATTATGCTATGTTTTTGCAGATTCTGTAGTCTCATGATCATGACCACTAGGTCAAAGAATGAAAATCCTCTTCTGTGTGAAATAAACTGGGAATCAGGCATTTCTACCGGGACACTCAGACACATGCTAGCACTGGCATCAAAAGAGATGCGTTATCAAATATTTTCCCACAAAACAGACGGTTTGACTTTCACAAAAAGTGTTCCTTCCAGAAGCCAAACAAACGTCTGAAAGAACCAGTACCAGTTTGCATCACTTTGAACCATCTTGATTTCTTCACGATGGTGTTAGCATTTCTTCTACTTCCAGTTGATATTACAAGGCTTGAGTGTGTCCCCTCATGAACGAAGACACCATCCCGAATTAGTTCCCCTTTAAATGATGCTTGTTTGTCCTATGATGGGTAATTTGGGGGTTTGTCCTCGGTAAACCACGATCAAGTTGGAGACGCAATCAATCATGGGCTACTGTTAAAGGTTAGGTTTGGGCGGAAGCACATATGCAACGGGTTTATTGGAGTTGTTACTAAGTTTATATAGATCGACGTCAAGATAAATTACCGTGATACTTGCATATACCGCTATAAGTATAAATACCTGCTGTCTGACCGTGACATCTTATTTATCTATCTGCAAGCCATTATCAAAATAGCACACGTCCATATTTGTGCCTGTTTTACTCAAGTCGATCTGATGTTGTTCTGCATCGTCTTCATACCATCAGTGATGTTTAATTTGTTGCACCATGTCCATCTCTTCAATGACGACGGTCACTTCCGTTTTATGTATTTGTAATATGACAAATCAGGTCTGCGCGTACCGAGAAATGTACTTGTATTTCCTATTGTTTGGATATTCAAAACCTTTGATTCCGATATTGTCATTGCAAGTTGATGCAGTGTTGTTATTTTCTATTTTATTTTTGAATCCAAGAAAACAGTACATATTTCTGGAAAAAAAGTATTATAAGCAAATATGTTTGTGTTGGCTAATCTGAACATAATAGATAAAAAATATTGTGTCTGTTAGCCCATCTGATCAATGCATGCATCTTTCGAGTTCTTTTTATCGTTATAAAATTCCTGACAAATATGACCTGTCTGGTCAGCAGCACAAGTTATAGCAGATGTATTCTACATGTGGTACACAACTAGGGATTGACAGCAATTGTTTCAGCATTTATCAAGAACTCAGGTACCTAGTAGTTTATAGATTGTGTCCCTTGAAGAATGTAGAATCTTCGGCAAGCAATAATATCATTGTTGAATTCAAGATATTTGTCCATACACAGGCATTGGGTTAATATTTACATCAGTGGTCAACACAATGCTGGACGTGTCTTAAATGTTTTAAGTTGGGAATGCCCATCAAACCAATGGTCCTCTTCTTATGCTCATTGTTACTGTGAGTTACCACTTCTTGTGTTAACCTACATCTCATTTCTTATTAGAATGTACAAACTATAGACAATTTAGACTTAATACAATATCTGAGCTAAATATAAACATAAATATTGATATATTGCTGCAAGGTGACCCAAATTTGTCTCAAATAGAAAATATTGAAATTTTTAGTCAAGTCCAGAGGTACAGTCTATCTCTCTTAATAATGTAACTCTTTATCTCTCATTTCTTTCTTTCTTATTAATTAGATTAAAATGTGTGTTATATATATTAAACAATTATGGTCAGTCAGAGAATATAAATGTTTGTTAAATGTTACCTGAAGGAGATGGCCCAACATAAGATTTTATATCTTGTTGCCAGATCCTTTTAATTGATGTAATTGTATTGTATTGTAAGCTAATTTAAGTAATAAATATTGTTTAAACCAACCTACACTCAGTGGGACTCCTTGGGTTTCTTTTAATTCCTGTTGTGTAGCTGCTATTTTTCCTAGTATTTTATTTTGTCAGTCTCCTATTTTCATGATGATTATTACAAAGTCTGAAGTTGTCTCCCTGGTACCAGTCATCAAAACAAAGCTATACAATCTCGCATAATGCACTTACTTCTAGTGATATATGGATTCCTGTAAAACTTAATTATCTGCTATTTCTTGTCCAACATGACTTTTGCAAAATAAATGAGTTCAGCATTATTTAAAGAAACAAAAGGCCCACTGGGTCTGAATAGTTTACCTGTTTCTTTCGTTATCTGAACTAGACATGATGTTGATATATTTCTAACTTCAAAATAACAACAGTATATAATATCAGGCCAAGATAGGGACAGGTTTATAAAGTTTTGTCAAAATCGGTTCTAAGGAAATTGAGATGAAAAACCGGCCTAAGGGATAACTGTCCATGGGAGTGAAATGGACCTTTGTGTTACTATTCACCTATTCACTGGAGAAATAAAAGATATTCCCTATATCTCTCCTAAGCGCCATCCCTCTGCCCAAAAAGGCCTTTCACTTTTTAAAGATGGAATTCCTTTTAATCACAGATGCTCCATGCGATTTAAATCCCTTCACATTTACCTATGGAGTAGTGTTTTAAAGGTGTCCCCCTATGGGCCCTATCACCCTTTCCTAAGGGTGACTGTATGCACATCCTTTATTTTGTAAAGCACTGAATTTCTTAGCACAGGAATATTCCATGCCAAATATATATATATATTATATACAATGTACAATCTTTTTACGACGTCGCAATTTCTAGACGTCCGCATTTTGTGTACTTTGTATATGACGTTATTTTTGACAACTTATGTGTACTCCATATATGACGTCACAAATAAATTCAAATCGCCTGAAGAGCCCCAAGATGGGTGAAAGCGCTAGAGGATTATAGTCTTTGTATTGTTTTATTAATATTTTCTACTGTCACATGGACATTTAAAACTATTTATCGCTATATATATATATATACACATGTAAACCCCAACCCTTACAATTCCTGTGAACACAATGGTTTTACTTTAACTTTTAAAATCTTATAAGTCGTAGAACTAAACCTAACAAGTGCACAAGCTTTTTACTTAAAAAGTGGTTACCTGGTATGTGTGACCTTTGACCATTTTACCTTTAACGATGACAGTCAAAATGGGATCAGGTGTGGAACATATACACTTAATCTGCTAAGGGGTTGAAGAGATACACAACCTTTTTCTACAGACATGCATTTACAGATTCATTTACAAAGCAATATCTATATACCCCTCAACTATTGACCCCTGAAATGAAGGGCATTAATTTACGCCTGTTTTTTTGTTATGTCAAAGAGTTACTATTTGTTTTCTGAAAATTATTTAATTATTTGATAATAGCAATACAGTAGTAATTTCCAGACACCACACAGATCTAGCACATTTATACACACAACAAAAAAACAGGTCATGTATAAAATAATTTAATAAGATAACAATGAGAGTAAAAGTCACTGACACAATAAACAAGTGTGATGAAACATGATTCGTTCAGAGTTATCACTATCCAGGTGAGAACATGACTAAAATTAGCACATATTCTCATTTTTTGTGAAACAGGAATTCCTTCTCCCGAGTTTTTGTGGTAGTAATGTTCACCAGCATAGTAAGGTGTGACTCAGATGATATGTACTCATACCGACGTATCAATGTCAAAGTACCAGACAAGATTAAAATCACTTTAATATCCTCATGCCTGTGTTTATCAACAGGTGTTAGAAAAACTAGCCCTATATACCTGTGTATAATAATCAACAGCATTAGACAAGGTAGTCCCTCATACCTGTGTATAATACCCACAGGCGTTAGAAAAGGTAGTCCCCCACTCCTGTGTATAATACCCACAGGCGTTAGAAAAGGTGGTCCCCCACACCTGTGTATAATACCCACAGGAGTTAGAAAAGGTAGTCCCCCACACCTGCGTATACTACCCACAGGCGTTAGAAAAGGTAGTCCCCAACACCTGTGTATAATACCCACAGGCGTTAGAAAAGGTAGGCCCCCCACACCTGTGTATAATACCCACAGGCTTTAGGCAAGGTAGTCCCCCACACCTGGGTATAATACCCACAGGCGTTAGAAAAGGTGGTCCCCCACACCTGTGTATAATACCCACAGGAGTTAGAAAAGGTAGTCCCCCACACCTGCGTATAATACCCACAGGCGTTAGAAAAGGTGGTCCCCCACACCTGTGTATAATACCCACAGGCGTCAGAAAAGGTAGTCCCCCACATCTGTGTATAATACCCACAGGCGTTAGAAACGGTAGTCCCCCACACCTGTGTATAATACACACAGGCGTTAGAAAAGGTAGTCCCCCTCACCTGTGTATAATACCCACAGGCGTTAGAAAATGTAGTCCCCCACACCTGTGTATAATACACACAGGCGTTAGAAAAGGTAGTCCCCCTCACCTGTGTATAATACCCACAGGCGTTAGAAAATGTAGTCCCCCACACCTGTGTATAATACACACAGGCGTTAGAAAAGGTAGTCCCCCCACACCTGTGTATAATACCCACAGGCGTTAGACAAGGTAGTCCCCCACACCTGTGTATAAGGCCCACAGGCTTTAGGCAAGGTAGTCCCCCACGCCTGTGTATAATACCCACAGGCGTTAGAAAATGTAGTCCCCCACACCTGTGTATAATACCCACAGGCATTAGAAAAGGTAGTCCCCCACACCTGTGTATAATACACACAGGCGTTAGAAAAGGTAGTCCCCCCACACCTGTGTATAATACCCACAGGAGTTAGAAAAGGTAGTCCCCCACACCTGTGTATAAGGCCCACAGGCTTTAGGCAAGGTAGTCCCCCACACCTGGGTATAATACCCACAGGCGTTAGAAAAGGGAGTCCCCCACACCTGTGTATAATACCCCCAGGCGTTAGAAAAGGTAGTCCCCCACCCCTGTGTATAATACCCACAGGCGTTAGAAAAGGTAGTCCCCCACATCTGTGTAAAATACCCACAGGCGTTATAAAAAGTTAGTCCCCTGAATCTGTGTTTATTCATGACCACTGGTATTAGAAAAGTCTATCCCGACTTCCTACAAATCTAGTCCAAAAAGAAGATACTGTTGAAGTTGCTTGCACAAAGCCTCTTCACTTCATCTGGAACAAAGAAAAGGAAACAAAATGAACAATATAATTGACTTTTCAGGTAAATTGTATAAATATACCGCCGTATTTCAACTGACTTATAATTCTGTTACAACAGGTTAATATTCTACCTCTGTCAGAGCAGTTCATGTTCCAGTTTTCTCAGAGTTATGTCCCTTTGTTAAGTGTACATACCATTAATTTCTATAAGATTTGTATTTTTCTGGTTGATCACTACGTAGAATTCTCTTTGGTCCGATTTTTTCCCAACAACCCAACTGTCCCCTGTTGTTTTCACAATGGTTTCTCCATCTTCACTGCATCTGTTCCAAAAGATCGGTAAGATAAAAAGTCATCAACAGGCATTTTAAGTTTACCATGATGAATCTGTTTAACAAAAAGTACCTGTAAAATGATGGAGATGCTAACCTACAGGGTGAAAGATTGTTTTCGTTCCCTTACCAGAGTAGAACACAAGCTATAGGAATCCTGGAAATCTACCCGGTAATATTTATAAGATTGCTAAATATGAAACTAATAGGAAAGGTTTTATCATACTTTTACAAACAGGATTTATAAACTAGATTTAATTCAAAGTGGGGGGTTTGTGTACATCTTTGCAACTAACATGGGTAAAAAAATAAATACAGTTCAAGTATAGAGTATACGACATGTGATATGGCTGGTACACCTATATATTACAGTACAAATAGAGATTGCAGTGTTCCCATCCAGCAAACTAACCATGTGAATTTTACATTTTTTGGTACATTAACATGTATTATTATAACTTAATATGTCAATCAATCAATATTTAAATGTAATACACATGCCAGGGCTGTAGCTGTTACTTCACAGTAAAATGTCGTGTTTCTGTGCATGAACAACTGTACTTTACACACGTGATCATAAACATACATAGTTAGGGCCTACAATTGATCCGCTGGTGATCACATGTTGACAACTGAATCAATGTTAATGCCTATGTACTATTTGTTTATCACAGTTAGCTGTGACAGTCTCTAATACAACCTTTACTTCTACATATTATCCTGACATTTGAATAATTACCAGTCCGAGAGCAAACTTGGATTTAATTTCTTTTGTAATTTTCCTACTCAAACTTTCATGTGTTTAAACAATTTGAAATATATTTAAATAATAATCAGCAGGGTTTGATATATCACTAAAATGATTGCTTTTTATTGAAAAATCATACTTTCAAATTCTCTGCCAACTAAAACTGACAAGAGATTTACCAAATTCCTGACTTTGGGATATAATTAAGACATGGAAAGAGTATGGTAAAGAGTATGCCACTGACGATTTACCTGGACATGTCAGAGCTGATATCACTGAGAAGTCGGAGGGTCTCCACTGGGATCTGGACTGGCATGGATTTCTTGTCAGAGTGAACCGTGGATTTCTGAGCCAAGTTCATGTGGTTGAAGTAGATATATTTGCACAAAGGATCACCACTAAAAATAACAGTACAGTTATGATTGTGTTATAATACATAATGTCTAACACACAGAAACATTAAAACCGTGATTCTATTGTCCGGTCTACAAGTAATAGCAAGAATTCCTTAGTGTTAAAATGGTACGTTTTGTTTATCTTTCATCATATTTATCATCTTTTTATTCAGTCTAACAAATTAAGTTATACACTTACCTTTAACAGTCATTATCAAGGTAATGCTACTGATGTATTATATACAACTAACATGTCCATTATTACCTGTTATTTGGCCGTTTGGAATATTGTTCTCCTATATCTGATGCAATCTGTGTAAGCTGTGGTCCCAAGAATATATCCAGCTTTCGACAGAGATCAAAGTTCAATTGGACGGACACTGTAAATAAATGAAAAGCAACTGATCAAAATTGAAACACAAAATCAAAATTAGTAAGTTCTAAATATAGATGTGGTAATATTGCATCTTGCATTTACATACCTCTACTTTACTTACTCTATACAAAATTTACTTGTTAACTATATCCCTGCTTTTGACCAGACTTGGCTGTCCAGGGAGTTAGTTCACTATCAGCCGTGTGTTAGTCAGAAAACACCCCTGCAGACGGACTTCCCAGATTAACTTCCTCACCAGTTTCTGTAATTTCCAGAGCTTCAACTGACCTAAATCCTCCTTGTTGTTACTGATCATGAGACTCAGGTGCTGACAATATTGAAAGAGTAGCTAGGATTTCAGAACTTTTGGTTTGGGATACTGATTATTTTAACAAATATTTGTACATTTCGTTTGGGCATAATAGTTAAACAGTTACAGTACCAGGTATGGGTTTTTGGGATATAGTAAGTTTCTGGTTCCCCTCGAGCAGGCCTATTTCAGCTTCACCTCAGACACTTGCTATATTCATCAAGCCCATACTTTAACTGTATAATACCTTTGTACCATACACACCCATCTCTTTTAGTTCAGAAAATCCTGACCCTTTAATATGTTATGTCCTTATTGGGTTTAATATTGACAAAAGATTGATTAATCAACTTAATTCACACATCTTCCAAATTTAATATCTTTGTAACTTCAGATAAAAATCATCCTAGAAATAAAGTACCGAGTTACTTGATGATTGAGATGTTTTACCAATCCAGCATTCAGTAAACACAGTGAAAGTGGAATTGTTTCTGTTGTTTAATGTTGAAACGTTCATGTATTTCGTGTTGAGCAATTCAGTGGGAAAACATCCACACACAAATATTTATAGAATACAGATACAACGATTTTAAGACCAGTTCCTAACATGAAAATCTACATTGTGTTCAGTGTAAAGAGTCAAAGTGTGAGACAACATGCAGAAATGACTACTTTTACATTTTTTTCATGCTATTGACTGGAAGAGGTCTGATGTACCTACCATTAATAAGCATACAGACACTGGCATTGTGAGCTCTGTAGACAAGGAGGTGACACTCCTCATTTTCTACCTCAGTGTTCATATACACCAGGGGAATCTTTCCTAGGTTCGTCTCATCCCGCACATTTGGGGGTCCAGTGATGTATCTATAACAACAGATGTGGTCGAGGTTCCTCAGTGATGGTTGGTTATCTATTATATCACTCAGGTAATTAATTTTCCAAATTTGCAAAAGACATGACTATACCAGAAATGTGAAAATTGATAGAATAGGCCTCTTATTCATAACCATCCTCGATACCCAGGGGTTATGCTCACTTACGCTCTCCGCACCCCTGGAATATGTCATAGCATAATTGAAAGCACAGTGTGACCACCTTGTTGATGATACAAGAAGACTAGTTTGACCCTTTGATGTACATCAAAAGAACCTCGCGGTTGCGGAAGGTAAACATTGACTGACTTTGAAGTCGGGTGTCGCCCCTTTGTAATATTCAAAGAACAGGTATCAGCCTAGGGATTGGTCATATTTATTTTTACCTGAGACCAATCAAACAGCTATCTTTGTGCTTGCAATTTTGCTATGACATTTTCCAGGGTCGCAGAGAGCGTATCGAGGATGATTCATAAGTGAAATTATGTTTGTCTATGTATTATCCATAACCACCATATATGACTTTTTCTCTTTCCAGCTACAGTTATACTAATCTGTTAGTTTGAAAAATATAGTAAAAGAAAATAATTCCATCTACAAACATATAAGATTGCGCAATAAGTCCATTTTTATTGGTATCATTTCCAAAAATAGAATAAAGAAGGCATCACAAGCAATACCAATCCTGCATCATACATACATGGTTCATATACTGAAATTGTACGTACCAATGGAGTGAGCAAGCCGTCCTTCATCAATGTTATTTTTAGTAACAGTAAACTTAACAATGGTAAAAAATCAACCATTCTCAAACCTGTTTAAGATATGCCAAAGGCCAAACCCAATTAGGAAATACAGCACTAGAATAACAAGAACAATAGCAATATATTATATTTGATATTTTTTTGTAACAGTGACCTTGATCTTTGCCCTACAAACTCAGCAAAACTCATCAAGGCAAATGGAACTGTGAAGTTTCAAGAAAATGTCATGTATTAAGAAATATAGCTGTTAGAGAAACGACAATGAATGTGGTGGTGAAATTCTGTTGTTTGTAACAGCGACCTTAAATAATGATGCCTATATTCAAACCAGTTAAAGTATGTACATTGTCCAAGGAAATATAACTGTGAAGCCTCCTGAAAATCTGGTCAGAAATACGGACACTATAGTGTGATGACAAGAAATGTTGATGAAATCCTGTTTAGAGCAAAAGTGACCCTTACATTTGAAATATGACACTCATATATGAAATGTCAAAGGTATGTACAAGGAAAACGTACTAGTGAAATTTCATGAAAATCGGTCAAGAAATAACATGAATACAGCTATAACAAACTTTAGACAAAGGCTGTAACATATGTACACATGGGCAGACAAACCAGCAGATTCCTGTATCCAGTATACCCCCACCCCACCATCTAACAGTGTTGCGGGGGTATAATTTAGTAAATGCACACTGATGTATAAGGTTGGAGACTTACTTGCCGTAGTGCACTGCAGTGTTTGCTGGTGAGGGGACTCGGCTTGGAGACACACTGCTGTTCTGGAGCTCCTGGTCCTGGTATGTGGGGAACAGACTTGTGGTTAAATACTTGTACATAATCCTCATGTCATCCTGTTCTAAGCCACTCCTAATCAAGAAAATAAACGAAGTTAACAACTGTTCTATGTCTACCTCAAAAGGACGAGAAACAATCCCTCAGCCTGCCATTGTTATCACAAACAAGAGGCCCATGGGCCTTAAAGGTCACCTGAGTCCTACAGTATTAAATTTTTGTTGTTGAAATATGAAGTGGAGATAATGATGTCAATCATCCCTACCAAAATTTGAGTAAAAAATAGTTAAGTATAATGTTAAGTTAAGTTTGTCAGGACAATGAGTTGATCATTCCTAGACTGAGTTTCAGTTAAATAGGCCTATTATAACTTGATCTTAAGTTTTCAATAGTTTTTTTTATCCAAAATGGCAGCCATATTGGATTTTTGATTGACCTGAAAAGAAAAAAAATCATTTTGTCAGCAACTTTATGTTTGAAATAGTTTGTCAGCCATAATGAATTTCTGATAGACCCGCAAAATAACAACACTTTGTCAGGACCATGAGCCGATCATTCCTACAAAGTTTCAGTTCAATCGGCCTAGCAGAACTTGACTCTAAGTTTGAAATAGTTTTTTCAAAATGGCGGCCGTGGCGGCCATATTGGATTTCTGATCGACCCTTAAAATAACAACACTTAGTCAGGACCATGAGTCGATCATTCCTACCAAGTTTCAGTTTCAGAAGACGGACGAAGACGGATAGCAATAGGTCACTTGAGCTAAAGCTCAGGTGACCTAAAATGCAGAGAACTTTGTATATACTCATAAGATTTTCATTATTGCTTGCTCTTTGTACAAGATAACAGTTAAAAATCCAGTAAACTGAGCACAAAGCAAATTAACATAATCTGATTAAGATTTTTTCCAAGTTAAGATTTTCAAGTTGAAGATGACTTTTTCAACAGATTGGATTGCCTCCCTTTGTACACAGAAATTTTGGTTTTGGCTCGGGACTATTAACAGTTATATAATTTTGGTTTTGGCTCGGGACTATTAACAGTTATATAATTTTGGTTTTGGCTCGGGACTATTAACAGTTATATAATTTTGGTTTTGGCTCGGGACTATTAACAGTTATATAATTTTGGTTTTGGCTCGGGACTATTAACAGTTATATAATTTTTAAGCATTCACTTCAGATAACAACACATATTTCTGGCATTCACTTTAGATATTAAACAACACATTGATCTGGCATTCACTTCAGATAACAACACATAGATCTGGCATTCACTTCAGATAACAACACATAGTTCAGAACTATATCTGAAGTAAAGGCTGAAAAAGTATGATAGCACACCTATTTGCCAGTACTGTTATACATGTACATGTAATAATAATTTACATGTGAGCGAGCATAAATGACTACCATATCTTATGTTATCATATGAGTATAATGTGACCAGGGGGAGAACTGTGTTAGGTACCTTCAGCATGGTATTTTTGTGAGGTAGTATTCTAACATCTGCAAATACAACAACACCACCCATAGCACCCAATTGTGCATACATGTACATATACACAGGGGACATGTCCTTCAATAACCATAGCTATAAATAGGATGGTAAACCCTATAAACTAAGCCATACTACACAAACAGGTCATTGTACTACACTACACCTGACCACACTGACCACACAAGCTGGGCATTGTACTACACTACACCTGACCACACTGACCACACAAGCTGGTCATTGTACTACAATAACCTGACCATACTGACCACACAAGCTACTATACTACACCTGACCACACTGACCACACAAGCTGATCATTGTACTACACTTCATTTGACCACACTGATCACACAAGCTGATCATTGTACTACACTACACCTGACCACACAAGCTGGTCATTGTACTACACTACACCTGACCACACACGCTGGTCATTGTACTATACTACACCTGACCACACAAGCTGATCATTGTACTACACTACACCTGGCCACACTAACTTACCACACAAGCTGGTCATTGTACTATACTACACCTGGCCACACTGACTTACCACACAAGCTGGTCATTGTACTACACTACACCTGGCCACACTGACTTACCACACAAGCTGGTCATTTGACTATACTACACCTGACCACACACCCTGGTCATTGTACTACACTACACCTGACCACACAAGCTGATCATTGTACTACACTACACCTGACCACACAAGCTGACCATTGTACTACACTACACCTGACCACACAAGATGGTCATTGTACTATACTACACCTGACCATACAAGCTGATCATTGTACTACACTACACCTGATCACACAAGCAGATCATTGTACTACACTACACCTGACCACACACGCTGGTCATTGTACTACACTACACCTGACCATACAAGCTGGTCACTGTACTACACTTCATCTGACCACACTGACCACACAAGCTGGTCCTTGTACTACACTACACCTGACCACACTGACTTACCACACAAGCTGGCCATTGTACTACACTACACCTGACCACACAAGATGGTCATTGTACTATACTACCCCTGACCATACAAGCTGATCATTGTACTACACTACACCTTACCACACAAGCTGACCATTGTACTACACTACACCTGACCACACTGACTTACCACACAAGCTGGCCATTGTACTACACTACACCTGACCACACTGACTTATCACACAAGCTGGTCATTGTACTACACTACACTTGACCACACTGACTTACCACACAAGCTGGCCATTGTACTACACTACACCTGACCACACAAGCTGGTCATTGTACTACACTACACCTGATCACACAAGCAGATCATTGTACTACACTACACCTGACCACTCTGAACACACAAGCTGACCATTGTACTACAATACACTTCATCTGACCACACTGACCACACAAGCTGGTCATTGTACTACACTACACCTGACCACACTGACTTACCACACAAGCTGGTCATTGTACTACACTTCATCTGACCACACTGACCACACAAGCTGGTCATTGTACTACACTACACTTGACCACACTGACTTACCACACAAGCTGGCCATTGTACTACACTACATCTGACCACACTGACCACACTGACTTACCACACAAGCTGGTCATTGTACAGGAAGGCTGTGTACTTGACAGCAGGAAACATGGCCTCCAGTAGGTTGATAAAACACTGTACCCGCAGATATGTGTTTTTGTCTAATGGCATAAAATGAATCCCACAAAATATATCCAATATGTCTGCAGAACCTAACTTAAGTGTCTGCAAATACTGAAATCAAAGAAATATCTCAGATAAATAAAGCAGAAAACAATGAAAACTTTGAAACAATCAAAGTATATTTGTTCACTAAATCCTTCAGATTTTCACTAGGGAGATTTTGAGAAGGTTCTTTAAAACATCTAAATGTTTGAATGGACATGAAAGAGTTCCTATTTCTTTATAGAACTTCAAACAAACCTTTTACGCAAAAAAATGCAAAAAATTGCAAAAGAAAACAATCAAATATGAACATAAGAAAAAATAATCTTCTAACTGAATAATTGTATGTCAAGCATAATCTGACTAATGTATTTTCAAATAAATATATGTGCCTGCATGCTCCCAGTGAAATTATACTAACCCTTGTGTAGAAATGCTCCAGTCGAACTTGTAAGGCCTTTATGTCATTGTTAGACTTGGCTAATATGTTGGTAAAGGAACCATTAAATAACTGAAAAAGAAACACTCTATATTAAACACAAGTACCTTTAAATGAGATATACATGTATATAGCAAGAGGTCCCAGTTTTAAGGTCACTTAATTATCGGTAAGTTGTAATACATGTACAGTTGTTATTATTGATAATTGTGATGAGACAAAAAAGAAACATTAACATAAAGAAATTAGCTATTTTGATGAAGCTCATTGTATAATAAGTTTCTTTTCCATTAATGAAGAGTATTCGACTTGAGCATATCTTAACCTGATTGTTTAAACTTTAGCAAAGAGGAGCATCTTTGATCCTGCTTCTCAGGCCCTTTGGGGGTAAGAGCCATATAATTCATAATTTGCATTTGGCCATGGAACATTCTTAATTGCAGTATTTTATCAAAACTGGTTTGGTGGTTTTGAACAAGTGTGAATTGTTTCTGAACGGAGGACACAAGATAGACACTGATGGACAAAATGTGGTCGCAAACACAGTATCCTGTAGTGTATAGCCTCAAACACAGTATGCTGTAGTTATACAAACCCGAAACATTCTGTAGGCCTCTCTCAGTATAGCCTCAAACACCGTATCCTGTAGTTATCCAACCCTGAAACCTTCTGTAGGCCTGTCTTAGTATAGCCTCAAACACAAGATAGACACTGATGGACAAGATGTGGTCGCAAACACAGTATCCTGAAGTTATACAAACCTGAAACCTTCTGTAGGCCTGTCTCAGCATAGCCTCAAACACAGAATCCTGTAGTGTATAGACTCAAACACAGTATCATGTAGTGTATAGCCTCAACCTCAGTATCCTGTAGTTACACAAACCTGAAACATTCTGTAGGCCTCTCTCAGTATAGCCTCAAACCCAGTATCCTGTAGTTATACAACCCTGAAACATTCTGTAGGCCTCTCTCAGTATAGCCTCTAACACAGTATCCTGTAGTGAATAGCCTCAAACACAGTATCCTGTAGTTATACAAACCTGAAACATTCTGTAGGCCTGTCTCATTATAGCATCAAACACAGTATCCTGCACATCCTCTTCGTGGTATTCCAGGTATGTGTTGTTGTCTTTGTTCTTCTCCGAGAAAGGGATACTGACAGTCTGTCAAACAAACAGGGAGAACATCATACAGGGCATGCCTAGTCTGTCACACAATGCTAGTTGTTACCTCTTTGATGGACGATCTATATGCTTACATCTGAAACTTAACAGACACAATTTCTATTTCATATTTCATTCCAAACATATATATTTGTTGTTTAACTCCTAGTCACATTACAAGTTACATTACATCTTTACTTATAATATTATGTCATTCATGATACTCTTTAATTTTTTAATTTAAACATTCTAATTAATAAGTTCTCATTATAAATTTATAGCTGGAACAACAGCCCTGATGTTAGAAGGACCAACAGTCCTGATGTTAGAAGGACCAACAGTCCTGAGGTTATAGACCAGAGTATAAAGTGTTTACCATGACCATCCAAAACTCTGGCTCTGGTTCATAGAACAACTGCCTTGTCTTCTGTGTATGTATACTATTACACGGCTTGTCAGAAAATGTCCTGAAAAAATGAAAATACTGCGAGATTAAGAAAAATTCATGATTCAATTTAGTGAGTTATCCAACCAGTTGCTGTGCGTTGCTGAAATTTATCATTAATTGTTACTGCACTTTAAAGTGCCAGTGTTTTGTTCAATAACACATTGATAAAATGTATAAACATTCTCTCACTGTAGTAGAATGTATAATACAGTTTACAACATGTGCTGACGCATTATTTTTTGTGTGCGTAGGTGTATCTTAACTGGATCACAAAAGTTTAACTTGAATTATGATTTACATCTGTGTTTGGATTTGGTTTAAACTTTTCCTTCAACAGGCAGAAACATGTACAATGTACCTCCAACAGCTATTTCCCACAAATATAAAATTTATGGAACCGATACATGTCAAGACAAAAATGTCCAGAAATATCCAACAACTGTGTATCATTAATTTTGTGTACCCAAAATGGAACACCTTAACTAGTTTCTGATCAAATATTACAGAAATCAGCATGGAGAACACTTTGTCATATATCCTGACATATATCTTTCAGATATTTGGAAAAGAAAACAATCCAGCTGATTTTTAAATATTCATAAATTTGAAACATGAAACCATTTAAAGAAACAGATTTTCATTCCATACTTAGGTAAGTGGTCAATTTTGGTTACCGGTGGGACCACCAATATTACATACTACTGGTACCAGGCATTCTTACATTGAAATGCCATCTGTAGCTTTCCATATCACCCAGTGAAAACTAGGAAAGGTACATGTAACTCTGATGAGAATGAGAATCGTACTTACTCTGTGAATTTGACAACAGCTTCACAAAGGCCAACTTGTTTTATCCTCGTATCAAGATCATTTGATTTTGGATGATAAAACATAATCTTCTTTTCTTCCTGTAAAGGTTAGATAAGGAAATAAATATATCCAATGTAAATACTATCCTATCAAGAGGAGTAGTAAACATTATTACAGTTCTGGGATAAAATATCAAAGTTTAACTTTATATTTTTTTTAGCATACATGACTGATTGTAATGAAAAACTAAACACCTGAAATACAAAACAGGAAATTTTCATGAAAATAGTATTGTATGTTTATTTTTGTAAATTTACCTTTCAGTTTTTGAAAAGTATGTACTGTACCAGAAAATACATAATCAATTTGAAAAAGAAGAGAGTAAGCCTTATTATATTAAAATCACCATAACAAAATATTTTATAGCATTAATACAGTACCTTACCAAAAACATTCCAATAAAGTCACTGTAACTAAACTAAAGTATTTCACAGCATAAATAAGTAATCAGAAACTTTATAATCACTGTATAAAGAAATTTCACTGCATAAACTAATATAAACATTCTAATAAAATCACTCCGGACATAAAATATTACACTGCAAAATTGTATACAATAAACATTCTAATCCCCATAACCAAATACAATGTACTTCATAACATAAATTAATGTACCATAAATGTTCTCATAATACACTCATCTATATTGTTAAATCTTCTGTTTTTATATAATAAAAACTATAAACAAGCATATTATATTTCAAATCTGTAAACGGAAGAAGAAGAAGATTATTTTAGAAGTATTTCACTAACCGTAAGCATCATACAAAGTTGAAACTTGAAACATTACACACACGAAGACAAAATCATAAACTAACATTAATGTATAAGATTCTTAATAATTACACTCCAACTTATCTCGATAATATCATTCAACCATTTCTAAATGTAAATAATAACTATACCTTCAGAAATAACAGATTCTTTAATATACCACAGACAAGAACTACTACTTATATGAATAGCTTCTTCCCTTCTACAATGGTAAAATGGAATGCACTTGATAGCACTGTACGAGACTCCATCTCAATTTCATCTTTTAAAAAGAAACTTAAAAAAACCTTTGATACATCCGTCTCAGAAACTTTTATTAACTGTGTTCCGAGGAAACTTAACATAATTTTATGTCAGCTAAGAAATTTTAAAAGTGATCTTAACTGTGATAAGTTACAAGACCATCTGATTGATGATGCTTCCTGTGTATGTGGTGTACAGAGGGAAGATCTAATACATTTTTTCTTTCAATGTCCTCTGTATTCTAATATTAGGCATCATATTACCACTATTTATAATCTAGTAGGATATTTAAATCTGCACTGTTTAGTATATGGTATTAGTAATGCATCCAACCAATTAAATAAAACTATTCTTATACATGTTGACTCTTATATTAAATCATCAAAACGTTTCGTTACTTATACGTGCTAGATAAATTTCCAAATGAATATTCATGTATTGTTATAATTATTGTTATTCAGGCAAGTTTTATCCCTTAAATAACGAGTATTAGACATAAGCTGGTGTGGGTGTGGGTGTGCATGAGTGTGAGAGGAAACGAATCACAACATTTTATATATTTAAGCATTGTACATATCTACCGGAATTAGAAGAAGACTGATATAGGCAAAGCCTGTTGTCTTATTCTTTTGTCAATACTGTTCAAATATCTCCTTTAATGTTAACTTATATGTTTGTATTATATATGTATTGTCAATAAAATANGCCCAGCAGAACTTGACTTTAAGTTTGAAATGTAAAATGTTAACGGACGACGGACGACGGACGACGACGGACGAAAACGGATAGCAATAGGTCACTTGAGCTAAAGCTCAGGTGACCTAATAAAAACTATAAACAAGCATATTATATTTCAAATCTATAAACGGAAGAAGAAGAAGATTATTTTAGAAGTATTTCACTAACCGTAAGCATCATACAAAGTCTAAATACAGCCATCAAAATGTACACAAAAACAAATGTTTACATATTCACAAGTTATTGCTTATAGCAGAGTATAGTCTGACCCCTTGCTTTTAATCTTGGGAGTACTGGAACGAGAGAGACCTGTGATATACCAACCATCCAGTCAGGATGCATTCATCTATAAATGCCAGTCACACAAGTACAGAAGCTATTGCCTACCAAGACAAGCATTATAATGATTTGACAAACCTTAAGAACAAGATATAACTTTCCCTCCTCAAGTCCTCATATTTTAGAATGTTCTGAAAATCATCAAGGATATTATATATATTATTTAAATGCATGGGGACTAACATGTACAACCACACACTAATTTAAACATATTTGCATAATATACCTCGCCTTCCCTTGCTCCATAAGTGGCATTGAAGACAAAAAAGTTCAATAATGTTATATTTCCTTTAGTTCCCATTGTTTTCACAATCTTTCCTTTGCAAGTAATAGCACAACAAGAAATGATGGTGATTGATCAAGTCTCAGCTAAGCTTCGTATCATTCAGGCCATGATGCAGGACCTACATTCTTATAAACAGGAACAACTCTCAATCCAATAATGTCCTCTCTGACACCAAGTTGTAGACATTCATCAGATTCAATAGAAAGAGTATATGTCTAACACACATAGTTGTATTTATTTTCCTGCTGCTAGAGAGGCTCCACTGAATTATCTGAAAATAACAGAATATTACATTAATTATATATAATTATCATACTGGGTGCTCAGTTAGACAACATAATGTTCTAAAGTACACGTGTACAACAAGACTAGTTTCGTGAAATAAAGAAATCTTGCAAGTTTAACAATCCATGCTTCAATCTACTTTTAAATGTACGTATTTTATACATAGTACAAAAAGGAAAAATTGTGAGGAGAATTTCAAAATAAGTTGGACCCATCAGAAAAATGTGCTCATGAGTCAAAGCTTCTGTTTTCAGAAATTTCTGCTTACTTATCTTATAAAAACATATTTTTGTCATATAATTTGCATAGGTTTAGCTTCTTGTTTACAATAACATTAGCTTTCTGGAATTGATATCCTAAACAAAGGACAGGACAAACTGGATTGGACTGTGATTTGATCCCAAAACCTCTGAGATCGTTTGACACCAATAAATGATCCAAATATCTTCTCTACTTAACCCTCTAGTTAGTCCTCCAACAAAGCCAACAAACATGACCAGCACTATTTAAACCATTTTCAGTGGTTATATTCATTTGGTCAACAAATGCAACTCAAGATGCACACCCTACTAGAATGAGATAAAGCTAGCTTCTTGCACCATCCACCAACCTTGTCCAGATCCAACTTGTTGAGGCTTCACAGTGTACTTTGGTTAATCAAATACGTATTCTGTGGGTCCTCTGATTGAACCTTGTGTACTATTTCACCTTTCCTAGCCACTTGGGACTGGCCTTACAAGGCAATCCTAGGTCACTACGCTGCCATCAAAAATAATGTTTAAGCAGGCACTCATCAAGCCACTGACCACACTCAATGTTTCTTAGCTACTGAGCTAGGGTTATACCACATAGGAGGAACCACTAGCTTGCCTGCTAGGTAGTAATTATATTTTCCCCTCATATTTCCGGGCTGCTTCATATCTCCCCTGCTGAGAAGTTTTGTCTCAGGACTTGGCCTGGGAATTCCACAGGCTTTTGGATCTCGGTGTACCAATGCACCTTCCCTAGCCACTGGGAACTGGCCTTACAAAGTACTGTAGGGTCAATATGCTGCCACCAAATGTAACATGCCAGTGGGCACCCATCAATGACTGTTATCTATGTTGCTTAACTATTAAGAGAGTCCCAGATAATTCCTCATTGGCTGGAAAAGCGAGCTTGCCAGTAAGGTAGTATTTCTCCTTTATACAGGTTGGGCACAACCCAACAGACATGGGTAACAGTTACTGTTTACATTAACATTTTTATTATTGCAATGTGGAATAAAGTGAAATGAAAACACTTAAAGTTCTTTTAAAATTAAGGAACAAAAAAGGATGTCACTCTTTCAACAAAATCCAATAAATAATCAATGTTGATGTCAAAGTTTTTGTTAAAATGAGAAACCATATCACTGACTTTAATTTTGTTCTCCAGTGACTTCGACTTGTGTTGTCCTTGGGTTGGGTGCATTCAGTGCAAATATGGCAGGTTAGCACAACTGTAATTCATTATATTATTTATATCTAGATCTGCAGTAAGAGTTATGTGCAACAGAGTATGACATATGAAGACTGTATTTTGTGCCATATTGTATCAGTTCACTCACAAGCCTTGGTTCACATTTATCAGTTTACACACATGCCCTGGTTACCATTTCAAAGAATAGATTAACAAGTGAACCATGGGGCCCAGAAGTAGACTGATTTAGACCCTAGGTCTCACTTGTCAAAACCAGGATCAACTGTCAAAAAAAAATGAAGACAGAGTGATATGTAATTATTCATTCGAAAACAAATATATGATTCTACCATACAATAACTCATTCATAACTCATTCAACTGTTTCGACAAATATAAAAATAAAATAGAGTTTTAACAGACTTCTTACACTGGCTTTATATTAGATATATCACCTCACCTCCCACCAGCAATCGCAGAAAACCGGAAACGAACTCTTTTATTTTGTCGATACTAATATCAGAGCGGTTTGCGAACTCGGAAGAAACCGGAAACAGTTAAATTTAGATACATGTATCTTTCGTAAAAAAATTGCCGTATTTCGTAAAAAATAAATAAATTCAGAAATAATGTAGTCTATTATTCAAGAAATATAATTATCTATAAATAAAATAACCATGTTATCTCTGTACTTCAACCATAGTGATACATTGCCATATGATCGGATGAGAGCGACAAAGCGAAGTTTTTTTTGTAAATTAAGACATGCAGAAATTAAATTATCGTGGACATCAATTACTGAAGTAGTTTTTATTTGAAATTTCCTGTACATGTCGTAGAACATGTATGTATGGCATTATCTGAGATAATTAAAATGGTCACTGACAGAAAAAATCAATATAATCGTTCTGTTATGACACATAAGACCTGTACACGATGTATACGTACTACACGATCACAATATGGATATGCACACGCCTGTACTACTACCACCATGATTTTACCGAGCTTTGGGGGAAAAGTTTCTTTTATAAGTTTAATTACTAAATTTTGGAGAGGAGAACAAATGATAGACAAACAACTCGTGGAAGTTAGTTTCAAATGTAATTGAAATTAAGTATAGATATAGAAGTGCTGGTATCGTTCACCTGAATGTTTAATCAACCGATGCAATATATTCCCATGACAGGATTGTGATTTCTTTTGTTTCCAAGTTATAATACAGGAGCTAATTTTTCAGTGTCCTGGTTTAATAACCGAGGAGCCAACGATGGTAGCATTTCTATATTTTTGTCTCTTCGTGCGTATCAACTTTATACATGGTGATAGGATGGAAATATCAATTACTTCCATGATATGGCTCAAAGACTAAGTCACAAGGGACAAGGCTGATCCAAGAACCAATCCTTGTAGCAGGAATGTGTTCGTCTCTATTACCTCGCAACTTTATTTATGGCTATATGGTGGAAACATGCACATGAGGCAAATTCTAAAAACGTGAATGCATTGGTCTTATGAGGTCCAACCATTGTATATATGGCTAAGACGCAGGGATCTCAACCTCTCTGTAAAGATGGTGAATTTATACTGACAACAGATGTTAAGCTCAACATAGTAAACAAAATAACTCAATGTGAATGGCGAAATTACCACTGGGCGAAAACGGATTTTACTAGTGAAGGGCGAACGATTGACCGGACGAAAGTTTCCCAGAATACAATATATATATATATATATATCAGCTAGGATCTCAACTATAACCCAGGGGCGAGGCTGGCACCCGGCGCTGATCCTAGTAGCATAGTTGTGTATAGGGCTGGAATCGCGGTCATTTCCAGGATATGATGGATGGACAAAATCCCTTGTGTGAGGCTGAATCCCAGAGCTATTCTTGCCGTGCTAGTATGGATTGTTTGTTTTTGTTCTATACGCCTCGTATGTGTCTGTAACGTTACATAGTTGGGAACTGAATTGTTGTAATTATTACAGCAGTGCACCCAGAAATGATTCTCCTTTGGGGCCCCATAGGTCCAACCCCAGCGGTCACACCAACTGTATTTATAAAATATACGATCACCTTGCTCTATATAAATTTGAATTAAATATAGTGACAAATTGTACAACTCTAGTTTCGAGGTAAAAAAAGTCAAAGGTTCATATTTTAGGTCTCATCCCTCCTAACATATAGAGGTCACACCCTTTGTTACCATATTCACACGTCCTCCATTATTATCTCGTTGAGTCCCCTCCAAGAATGCTCCAGTCATTTAGAGTAAAATCGATTACCTATTTCAAGGATTAGAGTTTGAAGAGTTCACTTATCATTTCCCTATTGGGCCAATACCCCCTGCCACAGGGAGCTGCATCCTCTACTAATATTGAATCCCATTTGTCCAAGGATGCTGCAGATCTAATGAGGTTAAATTCACATTACCCATTCTGATAAGGTAGAATTTTAAAGATTTATCGGTTTCCCCCTGTTAATTCCCTCCCCTCTGTCAATAGGGAGCCCGTATCATTTGTTTATTGATGGTTTTCAATATCCCCCCTATTGGGCCTCGTTCATCTGCTTGTTCACAGGAGCGAGTCCCCTTGGCCTAAGAATACTCAAATAAATGGGAAGGAATTTAAATATTTACCTTGATATCCCACATTGGGTTCCGCCCGTCTACCAAAAAAGTTACTGCGAAAGCTTACTTGACCCTTTTTGCTAGCTAGGTGAGCTTATAATGGTGATAGTCCATAGGATCAGAAGATGAAATGGAAACCGCCGTCCAACCCCATATCAAGATCTCAAAATCTATTTTGGCATGGAAAAAGAAACTTTAATCTGCACCCAAACCATCGCTATTGATGGCACCCGTAGTTCTCCAAAACTCATCAGCAGCTAGGCTAGACGTTTTTTAACCAAAAAATAGCGGCAAGGTTCCTTTTCATTTTTTTTTTATTAAAAGGTTGACTTATTCCCACAATTATATGAAAGTACTAGAGGAATGCATCAATAACAACAGCAATTGTATGACAATGACATGGCTACCAGATTTCTACAATATCACGGATTACGAAACCAATCTGGATAATGTCCTATAGCAAGGGAGGAAAGATTGATATCATCAAATGAATATCCCAGCAAAACAGTCCAACAAACTTAGGAAGTCACAGAACAAGTTTAATATATCATCGCCATTAAGGATAACGACCAGCTCATCTATAGTAAGTATAAATAGACACTATGACAGTTCTCCAGCCTCTACATAAAGTAACTGCCAGTATGAACGATCAACTGCATATCATTGCCATGTTTGATATCAATGATAGTGAAATCAACTACACAATGTATCCATGTGATCAAAACCTAGTAATCAAATTCTTAGATTTTAACCCCTGAGAGAAGGAAAGCGAATAAAACTTCTGTCTGAACTTGGAGCTCTGCCTGTCGAAAGATTGAACTACCATACATATAACTACACAAAAATATGAGAGAGCGTCGGGGCAGCACACTTGCCTGATCAACCGTTTAGCCAGAACGTTGACGAGCTGTGGATGATATCAGTTAAAGAACATGTACCAATGAGTAAGATCAGCAACAACAAACTTAACAGCAGAACCACACTTGTCAGGGAAGCAGTGTACACTACGTACATGTATACCAGGCACAAGAAAACGAGATGGGAAAAAAAATCAAAGATGACCAAAATTGGAACTAGTACAATAATAGGTGACCAGAAACATATCAAACATTAAGATAAATTATGAAACAATATGACCAATGACAAACCAGTTAGGAAAAGGACGCGGGCCAGGAACTTGTATACTTGCTCCAAAATGTATTTGTAGACAATCTCTCTCCTTTAACTAATTTAAAAATAACCTCATGAAGATGCGTCACAATTAAGAAGCTTGGTAAGTTGTGTATTAAAGCAGCGAGGTGCACGGACAAGTTTATATCTTTAGAATTTTACAGAGCAGATTAAGTAATGTCTCGTTGATAAAACGTTTCTCAAGGTCAAATGGGTCATATTTGCATGTATGATTCCATTACTAATCTGTACGCACAAGATCCGAGTTGCTCTTATCCACAGAGCTTCTCTCTTGTCGCTAGACATGTGCCACTTCCCAAGGTACTAGGTTGTTGAAACGCTATATCAACTTCAAAACAAGAGGCACAGAGGGCCTGTATCGCCTCACCTGAATATCTAAGCAGTCATAGCAAAATATTCTCATTAAATATTATATTACACTACAAATATTTCCCTCGCAAACTTTGTCGACTCCATCTGTTGAGACCACCAGCCAGATATTATTATAAGACTCTATGCTGTTTGCTCCTTCTTCAGAAGTTGTTTGACATATTTTCCCCTGTGACCTTGTAAGTAGGTCAATGTCATTTTCCTTCTCAAACTTTGTTAGCTCTACACCAAGAAGCTGCCAGCCAAATCTTATGAATCCATTCCTTTTGGTTCTTCAGAACAAATCCTTTCAAATGTTGTTGATCTCTGTGACCTTTAAAGTAGGTTGAAGTTATTTTCATTCGCAAACTTTGGTGAGCTCTATCCCAGGAAGCCACCAGCCAAATATTATAAATTTATGCCTTTCGATTATTTAGAAGAAGTCGTTTGATGTTTTTGACATATTTGACACCTGTGACCTTGAAAGGAGGTCAGGTTCATTTTCATTCTTAAACTTTGTCGGGCTCTATCTCAGGAAGCTAACAGTCAAATATGAAAGTTCTATATCTTTTAGTTCTTCAGAAGACGTCATTTAAAGAGTTTGACATATTTGACCGCTGTGACCTTGAAGGTAGGTCAAAGTCATTTTCGTTCTCATACTGTGTTGGGCTCTATCCAATGAGGCCACCAGCCAAATATGAAGATTCTATACCTTTAAGTTCTTCAGAAGAAGTCGTTTAAAGAGTTTGACATATTTGAACGTTGTGGCATTGAAAGAACTTCAATGTCATTTTCATTCTCAAGCTTTGTTGGGCTCTATCCCAGGAAGCCACCAGACAAATTTGAAGATTATATTCCTTTCAGTTCTTCAGAAGAAGTCGTTTGAAGTGTTTGACACATTTGACCCCTGTGACCTTGAAAGTAGGTCAAGGTCATTTTCGTTCTCAAACTTTGTCCGGCTCCTACCAACGAAGCTTTCAGTCAAATATCATGTCTCTATGCCTGTTCATTCTTCAGAAGAAGTTGTTTAAAGGAAAAGTTGACAGACGACGACGGACGGACGGACGGACGACGGACGCCGCACTATGACATACATATGTAAGCTCACCTGCGTTTCGATCAGATGAGCTTAAAACACTGATCAGACCTGTTGCAGTGACATTAATTTTCTTCTGAGAAGGTTTTAAAAGAAGTTTTTTTTGACGTAAGGAAAGCATTAAAACCGTTAATTTGATTAATATTTGATATGCCTGTATATTAAAAAATAGGTAAAGGATATATTGGCAACAGAAACTGGAATAAACTGCGAGAACAATGGACAATTGATATGGACACACAATTTAATACAATAGGCCCAATGGGCCTGCATCGCTCACCTGGTATAAATCCCACACTTGTAACATTAAACGTGATCTAAAGTAAAGTAACAGGCAAAATATCAGTATTTATGATTAAAAGTCATTTGGAGAACCTGTTAAAAGATTTAAAAACATTTCACCCTGTGACCTTGAAAGTCAAACAAGGTCATTATATTGAACACATTTTATAGCCTTTATTTTCAGGATGCAACTTGCAAAATATTACCATCCTATCCTTTTGTTTATTGAAATTAGGTCATATAAATTTTTATACATATTTGACCCCTGTGACCTTAAATATAATTCAAAGTCATTCATTTGAACAAATTTGGTAGCCCTTGATCCCAGCATGCTATTGGCCAGATATCAACATTCTAGGCATTATGGTTATTCAGAAGAAGTTGTTTAAAGATTTTAATATATTTTACCACTGTGACATTGAATATAATTCAATGTCATTCACTTGAACAAACTTGGTAGCCCTTCACCCCAGTATTCTACTGGCGAAATATTATCTCCCTGTGCATTTTGGTTATTCAGAAGAAGTTGTTTAGAGATTTTAATATATTTGACCCCTGTGACCTTGAATATGGGCGAAGGAAATTCATTTGAACACACTTGGTAGCCCTTCATCTCAGCATGCTACTAGCCAAATGTCATCACCCTGGGCATTTTGGTTATTCAGAAGAAGTTGTTAAACAGTTTTTAGCATATTTAACCCCTGATACCTTGAATATTGGTGAAGGTCATTTATTTGAACAAACTTGGTAGCCCGCCATCCCAGCATGCTACTGTTCAAATATCAACATCCTGGACATTTTTGTTATTCAGAAGAAGTTGTTTAAAGTTTTTAACATGTTTGACCCCTGTGACCTTGAAAACGGGTGAAGGTAATTTATTTGAACAAACTTGGTAGCCCTTCATCCCAGTTTGCTTCTGGCCAAATATCATCACATAGGCCCAAAGAAGAAGTTGTTTAAAGTAAAATATTGATGCCGGACGACGGACGCTGCACCACGGCATAAGCTCACTTAGCCCTTCGGGCCAGATGAGCTTAAAACAAGAAGAACAACATAGGTTTGACATTGTTTCGATGTTACAATTATGACATGAGTATGACTTTTAGGTTTTACAATTGTGACACAGGTTTAGCACAGTTTAGGTCTGACCTAGCCTACCAGATAGGAGATATAACCATAGCCTGTCCACGGCCAGTAGGAGATGGTATCGGCCACGTGTCACATCAAACCGGCTCTGTAAACACCTCTTTGACACGTTTTTGTCATCTTGAATTGGCCAGAAGACCACAGCACTGTAGTATAAAGGTATGTTTTGGGGCAAAAACAACACAATTATACACACACAAAAATACTGGATAAGTTTCGATATTATAAATATAATATCAATAAGTTGAAACACCATAGACTAAAATGTATTAGAAAAGATGTGTTAAAGAGGATTTAAAATATAGAACCGCTAATTATATTGGCAATACCGGTAGAAACCACAGTAGCCAGATATCTAAGGATTAACTTGAATATATTTTTCATGTTATGGAGATATAACACAAAAAACGTAGTGTACTCTAAATAAACCGCGAAGCGTTTATGATGAGAGTACACTCCGGTTTTTTGTGTTATAGCTCCATAACATGAAAAATATATTCAAGTTAATCCTTATAATTTAATCTACTATACACAATCCCTGTGGAAATCCACTTGTATTGATGGACTCTTTTCTCTTAGAAATTATTGCGCTGCTGTATCAGCCAATCAAAAGCGACGTTACAAATGGCGACGTCATTTTTTATGTTATGGGCTGATAAAATAAATTTTTAAGCCAATGAAAATGCTTGTTACACGCAAGATTAAATTATATGGATATAACGTTCGTAAAAACATTCTAAAAATTATAGGACAATGTCTGGTTTCTTAATCAAATATGTTTTACCGCCTGGGTTTGCTGAAATTTTAAAAGTTATTAGGACCATTATCAGCAAGACTTCAGCCAGTTATATCATAAGATACATCTTTTAACAGATTTGGGGAAACCTGCTTCTAAGAAGATGCCTTGCATTATCACCGACATAATTGGTGTAAAGTACTTGGAAGTGACGTATTTCACAGCACTAGCCTTGGTGCCCTTTGTTCTGTACTGGACTTACACACTTCTACTTGGAGTTTTACTACTCGTCCTCACGGCCTGTTTCTACATCATAAAGAATCATACCAAACAACTGCATGATGTCAACGGCCAGTGTGTATTGATAACAGGGTGTGATACAGGTACACTTTTACATGTGTGTATTGATTACATGGTGTGATACAGGTAAACTTTTACAGGTGTGTATTGATTACAGGGTGTGATCCAGGTACACTTTTACATGTGTGTATTGATTACGGGGTGTGATACAGGTAAACTTTTAGATGTGTGTATTGATTACAGGGTGTGAAACAGGTAAACTTTTACATGTGTGTATTAATTACAGGGTGTGATACAGGTAATCTTTTACATGTGTGTATTGATTACATGGTGTGATACAGGTACACTTTTACATGTGGGTATTGATTACGGGGTGTGATACAGGTAAACTTTTACATGTGCGTATTGATTACAGGGTGTGATACAGGTTAACTTTTACATGTGTGTATTGATTACGGGGTGTGATACAGGTAAACTTTTACAGGTGTGTATTGATTACAGGGTGTGATGCAGGTAAACTTTTACATGTGTGTATCGATTACAGGGTGTGATACAGGGAAACTTTTACATGTGTGTATTGATTCCAGGGTGTGATACAGGTAAACTTTTGCATGTGTGTATTGATTACAGGGTGTAATACAGTTAAACTTTGACATGTGTGTATTGATTACAGGGTGGGATACAGGTAAACTTTTACATGTGTCTATTGATTACAGGGTGTGATACAGGTACGCTTTTACAGGTGTGTATTGATTACGGGGTGTGATACAGGTAAACTTTTAGATGTGTGTATTGATTACAGGGTGTGATAGAGGTAAACTTATACATGTGTATATTGATTACAGGGTGTGATACAGGGAAACTTTTACATGTGTGTATTGATTTCAGGGTGTGATACAGGTAAACTTTTGCATGTGTGTATTGATTACAGGGTGTGAAACAGGTAAACTTTTACATGTGTGTATTGGTTACAGGGTGTGATACAGGTAAACTTATACATGTGTGTATTGATTACAGGGTGGGATACAGGTAAACTTTTACATGTGTCTATTGATTACAGGGTGTGATACAGGGAAACTTTTACATGTGTGTATTGATTCCAGGGTGTGATACAGGTAAACTTTTTCATGTGTGTATTGATTACAGGGTGTAATACAGTTAAACTTTGACATGTGTGTATTGATTACAGGGTGTGATACCGGTAAACTTTTACATGTGTGTGTTGATTTCAGGGTGTGATACAGGTAACCTTTTACATGTGTGTATTGATTACATGGTGTGATACAGGTAAACTTTTACATGTGTGTATTGATTACAGGGTGTGATACAGGTACACTTTTACCTGCGTGTGTTAATTACAGGGTGTGATACTTCATTTCAATTTATTTCCGTAAGTTTTACAGCTTATAAGATTTTCAACAAATAATATCATTTAAGTACAACATATAATTACATATTACTGGCACATTCATCACAAATCAGCAGCAACAACAACACCATAAAAATCATAATTCATCGCTTTCATCATCATCATCATCATCATCATCATCATCATCATCATCATCATCATCATCATCAAAATATCAACATCATCGAAAACATCTATATCATCATCATCATCATCATCATCATCATCATCATCATCATCATCATCATCAACAAAAAACAACAACATTGAGCATTTACCATCTTAAACATGAATAATTGTTCGAACAAAACATGGGCATGATACGATTGAGTAATACAAAATTAGGTAAAACAAACTTAACCTAATCCTTCGTTTGTTAGCTTCAATAATAAATTTACCTGACAAATTCAGTTCTTTTACATTGTGTGTATTTTCTAATTCGATAAGTTTGAATACAGATGGTTTTGCCAGTAATAATTTTTAACATATTTTCTCCTTAGATCTAGATGACGTGGGCAGGTAAATAGAAAATGAAATTCATCTTCTATCTCTATTAACAGGTAAACTTTTACACAAGTGTGTGAATTACATGCTGTGATTAGACAAACTCTTAAACAAGAGTGCTAATTTGATGCAGCTTAATGATCCGTTAGTGCATGCTTAAGGGCCTGTTACACACTAACGATGTACCTCGCCGGGACTAAACCGGAGCAAAAAATTAACAACGGCGTGACAATCGGCAGAGCTCCGGTGGGAAAGCAAAAAAAAAAATTGACCGAAGCATTACCGATGTAGTACCGGTGTTCCCGTTGCGATACCGTTGTTCTACCGTTGTCCTACCTATGTAAGAGCCGATGTGCTACGGAATACCACTTTTCCGTTACTTCGGTGGTATTCGGTAGTACTACGGTATCCCATCGGTACCAGTACGATACACATTGAGGCCACCGGAGAGCCTCCGATCAATTACGGGACGCTACCGTAACTACCGATGCTCTAGCGACATTAACGAAGTCATACCGGAGTACTGCCATTGTACTGCCGGTGAAGTCCCGTTGCTCGCTCCGGCAGCGCAACGTCTGACATTTTTGAGCATTGTCAAAACTTTCCACCGTCGCCTGCCGTTGCTAAATTTTTCGCCGATGTTCTGACGATGTCCTGACGATGTCCTTTCGCTGCCGTACTAGTACCGATCCCTGAAAATATAGATCCGGCGACCCAAATCGGCTAGGTGTGACAGGCCCTTTACAAAATGCGCTATTGCTTTGAGTTCCAGTAACAGCAAAGTTCAAAGAAAGACGATGATCGGACCATATATGTTAAAATGTAATCTCAATGAAAGTCCTAACCCGGGTAGATACTATCACAGACAGCAATATACAAAGTTCATGATGGGAGGCTCCAGTAAACAAATTGTAGAACGCAATAAAAGAATGGTATCGATATCGTTCATCAATAACTTCAATATACAGCAAAAGTTGGCGTTGTGACCGTATTATTGTGTTTCAGGGATTGGACACGCCCTAGCACGGAGACTGGACAGTTTGGGACTTACGGTGTACGCTGGATGTCTCCAGGAAACGTCAGATTTACGGAAACATGCATCAAAACGACTGCATGTCATACAGCTTGATGTCACCAGCGATGTTAGCGTGAGCAAAGCGCTGGATTACGTGTCCACTCACTGCAATAAGACGAAATGTGGTATGTGTTTGGAGAATTTCGGCTGAAAATGATAAGTAAATATAATGTTTAATGTATACAACACATATACAGATTTGATGTTTTTGTAGGCCTGTGGGGATTAGTGAACAACGCGGGGGTAAACCACGTAGGCGACGTGGAGTTCTGTACGATGGCAATGTATAGGAGAATCATGGAGGTCAACCTGTTAGGGATGGTCAGGATAACCAGGGCATTCCTACCTTTAATCCGGAAGTCACAAGGTAAGTTCCTCTTTCGTTAGATTCAGCCGCTTACCTCAATTTTGAACTAATACATGACTAACATGGACGGCTTTCTACAGTACTAAGCGGACGAATTTGATTTATGATCGTGAACTTTCCCTTTCTTTACAGTAAAATCCCTGGTTCCGCTACCCACAGTGTGTAAATGTCGCACGTTTTTGGTGTTAACGGGTTTATTCCGAATACCACGATTTCCGTGATGAATGTCGACTGCTGATAGACAAATTAATAGCAAATGATGCAATCTCATAGGAAACTATCATATTTCTGAGTGTGATATGAAGGTCGATTTTTCATTATGCGCCTTGATGTTTCATCATCATAACCATGGTGTTAACTTTGAGGGCATGACATTATTTAGTTTTGACTCCTATCATGACAGGTGTTGTGCAGAAGACGCCTGCCCTTCCAGGACATCTGGGGGTTTTCAGTTCCTTTTACCTTTTTATTGGTCTCGGTGTAAATGTTCCCTTTTCACACTGTTTCATTGTTTCAGTTATAATTTAAACAATGTCTGAACACTCTTACTTGGCTTTATTAGACTTGCAGAACGCTTCGCTTCAAATTATTGTCGCTAACGTTTTCGGCTTATCGCTAACAAAGAACAATTTCCACAGTCAACGAAAGGGTTACAATTAAATAATGGTTAAAATGTAGTAGACGAACCAACGGTATAGACATATATGAAGCAACTGTGTTTACACATTGTAAAAAAAGTATGTATCATTGAAAAGGCAAAATAATTCGACAAAGCTGTTTTGTGTCTTTTTGTCTGTGTATTATTTATTTAGAATTGTGAATGTATAACGGTGTCGACGATTTTTGTACTGCTTAACTGAACCAGAAAATAACGATAGATGGATCCAAACACTCCGTCTAAAGTACCGAGCAGTTCAGAAAAGTGTTGTAAATCGATTCTAATCTCGGAGAGGTAAGACATCACACCGCATCGTTCATAGATTGCGAAATATAATGTTCAGTTGGCGCCAAATATGAAATTCTGTTAAGAGAACCGAAGGAAAGAATTCACATATTCGTCAAGAGGAATCAATCCTCTATATTGTACTTCTGGTTAGAAACTTGTTTGTATATTTGGAGAGGTCAAACGTCAAATTAACACATGGACTAAACTCCGAGGGGTACTCACACATAAGGAACTCATCAAGGAAAAGAACCGCTAGTAAAACGGACACATATTGGAGCTAAACTGAACTAGTAGGTTGCTGAACCACGAAACCTCGGTACATCTTAATAACTAACTCGAGCTAGAGGCATATCCAAGAAAGTATATCAATCAACCTGAAGCTATACAAAGATGGAATCTCGGTGAAAAACTGAGCGCCTTTCAGTCGTCTCCTAAAATATAGAAAAACAAGCAACGAGTACAGACGACTCCTACTCCAGTTGTCTACTCTCACCCTTTTCCGATCCCTCCACTCCAGTTGGCTACTCTCACCCTTTTCCGATCCCTCCACTCCAATTCGCTACTCTCACCCTTTTCCGATCCCTCCACTCCAGTTGGCTACTCTCACCCTTTTCCGATCCCTCCACTCTAGTTGTCTACTCTCACCCTTTTCCGATCCCTCCCCTCCAATTCCCTACTCTCACCCTTTTCCGATCCCTCCACTCTAGTTGTCTTCTCTCACCCTTATCCGATCCCTCCACTCCAGTTGTCTACTCTCACCCTTTTCCGGTCCCTCCACTCCAGTTGTCTACTCTCACCCTTTTCCTATCCCTCCACTCCAGTTGTCCACTCTCCCCCTTTTCCGATCCCTCCACTCCAATTGTCTCCTCTCACCCTTTTCCGATCCCTCCACTCCAGTTGGCTACTCTCACCCTTTTCCGATCCCTCCACTCCAGTTGTCTACTCTCACCCTTTTCCGACCCCTCCACTCCAGTAGTCTAATCTCACCCTTTTCCGATCCCTCCACTCTAGTTGTCTACTCTCACCCTTATCCGATCCCTCCACTCCAGTTGTCTACTCTCACCCTTTTCCGATCCCTCCACTCCAGTTGTCTACTCTCACCCTTTTCCGATCCCTCCACTCCAGTTGTCTACTCTCACCCTTTTCCGATCCCTCCACTCCAGTTGTCTACTCTCACCCTTTTCCGATCCCTCCACTCCAGTTGTCTACTCTCACCCTTTTCCGATCCCTCCACTCCAGTTGTCTACTCTCACCCTTTTCCGATCCCTCCACTCCAGTTGTCTACTCTCACCCTTTTCCGATCCCTCCACTCCAGTTGTCTACTCTCACCCTTTTCCGATCCCTCCATTCCAGTTGTCTACTCTCACCCTTTTCTGATCCCTCCACTCCAGTTGTCTACTCTCACCCTTTTCCGATCCCTCCACTACATACTACATCCCTTCTGCTCGTGTTCATATCTATTCATCGTCTGCTGGACAACCGAACTATTCGGTAGTGAAACGGACGAAAAAAATACTCAATCAAGAAGATTTGACAAAACTGGCGGTTTTCGTCACAGAACGTGGAATTGATGTAATTCAGGAAGAATAAGAGGACACAGTAAGTAACTGCACAAAACAACATTTAGATCAGCGTCCCGTAATTAGCTGCTTCAGTGTCCAAGCCTACTAAGGGCAAGGTGAACAACAAAACAGTACAAGTTCAAAAGCGAACTGAACACGCAGATATTGAAATTGGACTGAAGTGATTACTACAAGTGTATACATATAACTGGAATAACTGACATGTAACATTACTGAGTGTTAGAGTTGTTCACCACTAATATACAATATATATTTAGGTCAAATGTTTAACCTTACGTTTAATGTTTCAACATATATCAATTACAACAGAAACTAATGTACTATGAGCAGTCGAAGCACGGGGTCACAAGGCAGAAAACTGGCGACACATAACATGGGCTTGTGTAAATAAATGGGATAGCAGGGTTGAGAACCAACGCATTTAAAAGTTCGTTGTATACTGACTAGCCTTGTATCTTATCTAGGGACATCATCGAGGAGGATCTAGGGATACCAGCTAACATTTTGTACGTTGCTTAGCCTTTACTTCTAGGGAAGTGACCCCGTACTTTTGTCTGTTTCCAGGCCGAGTGGTGAACGTCACTAGCGTCCAGGGCAGACTGCCGATGCCTTCCCATTCGGTTTACGGGATCACAAAGTTCGGCGGAGAGAATTTCTCGGATGCTCTCCGACTGGAAATGATAAAGTTTGGTGTCAAAGTTTCCCTTATAGAGCCTGGCAATTTTGGGGGAACCACAGGGATGTTAAATGATGCTTCTGTGAGTTGAACAAAAATCTTATGACATTCGTAATTATCAGCTGGTTTCATCGATAATGTAAGCTCGAAAATATAACCGCATTCAGACAAGTCTAGGATCCATGTTGGAGGAAACCATTGTTTTTGGGAACGATAACAAAATATTTTTGTCAATTCACATAAGATACGTAAAAATCGTTAAAATAAGAAAATTCCAATAGAGAACTTTATTTCTTAAATTGCATTTCACGGAAAACATGTCTATCAATAAATTGTTCAATATCATGAGAGTTGTCCTCTAGAAAACAGATGGCTTACATTTAGACGTATACAACATTTAATGTAAGCTTGTGTCTCCACTAGTTACGAATAATAAGGCGAGACTTCGACACGATGTGGGCGGAGGCGACAGAGGAGACGAGACGTACATATGGTAAAGCCTACCTAGAGACGCAGTACAGTAACGCCACCAACATATCGTCCACCAGTGCACCAAGTCTGGACCCGATCATTGACGCCATGGTTGATGCCCTGCTCAACACTCGCCCTCAGACACGATACCTAATTGGGGGTAGTAATGGTCTCGTGGACCACTACTGTGTAAGCGTTGTCGCGCCAGTATCTCTGGAAGTTGGGATGGGGGTGGGCAACATCTGGGGGATGGCTATAGTTCTACCAGAAGTAGGGTTTCTCCTTAACTACTGAATGAAATGGTTTCCTGTTTGGCTTCCAAAATTAAGACAAAGAACAGGGTCAGTAGGTCATTTCGTTAAGTTCTATTCAACTTTATTAATGAGTTGTCATTTTCTTTTTCAAAATAGGAAAGTTTTGTTACTAAAGGCTTAAGGGATATTTAGAACAAGTCCATTGAAGATTATGACATATTTATCCCCTGTGATTCTGACAGTGCTTCTAAACGTTTCCTTCATGTTGGTAAGTTTGTAAGATTACCGGTTCATATAGCACAACCAGTGACATGTAGGACGCTTCGATGACCAGAGCGATATGTACTCAGTCATCTTTATCAAATGACTGGTAAAGCGTATGTACCCTAAGACATGTATAAGTTGGCAATACAGTCGCTGTCGATTCGGCTACTCTGTAAGCGTATGTACACTTTGCGGTCTTAAGTGTTCGGAAGGGCGATCAAATCTACAAATCGATTTGGCTATGCTTTGTCGTGAAAAATGCTCCAGAACAACAAACGATATGAGCAACTTCAGATCAATCCAACGCAAGTTTTAAGATCCCAGCCATCTGGTCTGAACTGAAATGAGAGTAGGACTGCTAAATTCCAATACAGCACCCTTGGATCGCTAGTTGGTAAAACGAACATCATTTCAAGCTATTAAAATATCTAGGGAATGTACGTCCATGATCATAGTTTAAAAATGCGTAGAATTAATTTCACATGAAGCTATTAGTGACGATTCAATAACAGTAATTAGGAGCCGCTTAGATCCTGGCTAAGAACACAAATTTGAAGGAATTTTTTCATCTTCGAGATACAATATATTACCAGTCTTCGGCATGGCTGTTGGCGGTCTAGAGTCTCCCTAGTGTGGCCAATTTGTTCATTGAACATCTGGAGCAAGAAGCAATAACCAATGCCCCCATTTAGTGCAAGCCCAGCCTATGGAAACCATTCATTGGCGACATACTAGAGATATTCAAGAAAGGGTCACAGAAGAATTTGATCACTCATTTGAACACCGTAGATTCCATTAATTAGCCTGGGAAGAAGAAATCAACAACCCGATGCCGTTCCTCGACTGGTAGAGGATAACAACAGAACCGTGAAGGTATTGGTCTATAGGAAAAAGATGCAAATGAACCAACATCTGAACTTCACATCTCACCATCCTTTGCACCAGAAGTTGGACGTAGAACGCACCTTGCTCAACTACGATTGTTACAAAACAAGAGGACAAAATTCATGAGCAGACGCACATTGAGGGGACGAATGAAAGTATATGTCTATTCGGAATGGGCACTCAAAAGGTCACAAAGCAGTTTCAAAGTAAGGGAAAGAAGGAGTAAGTAGGAGTAAGTCAAATCAAGGAGAATAAACAAAATGAAAGGTCAGGTGGTCACTCTTTACAAAAAGGGGAATTCTGAAACCACCCAGAGGTATATTGCGGCCATGGGATAGTAACAGCCATATAGCCCCAAAAGAGGCTTTGTATTAAACTTGTGCTTCTATCAGGATAAAACATCTTATGACCGGATGCAATAACTGCGACGTGTCCTAAACCGGAGAATCTGAAAGGCGATTTAGGATCCAACTTGATGATCAGCGGAAAGACAAGAGGGAAAGACATTCACTCCATCAGAAAGGAAGTAATGGCGGTTTCTCAGATCAATTAATTGTCACTCACAGATTACGCAATACAGTGAAATCATAGTATTAACCGGACACTCCCAAAGTGTTGGGCACAAAGAGCACTCTGTTCAAGCGTCCAATAAAGGAAGCAATGTCTATTTGCCGCAGTGACCCAGTTCTGAACCAAGACGAGTGGTTCATAGACTCTTGCACATCTAAGACGGGGTGTAGCTAAATTTGATCGTCCTTTCGCACATTTACAACAATGAGTGTACAATTCACTTCGGGATTACCCCCGTGATACTTGTAGGCGAATCAACCGTAATTTGTATAAGGTTAGGGTACACACTAGTCATCCAAATGTCACACGTAATTATTTCACTGGTTGTGCTATATGAACATGTATACGACCTTAACAGCATGTCAAGGTCATTAATTTATACAGACTTGTAGCCCTTCACCCCAGCATATTACTGGCACAACCTTATAACCATAAGTCTGATAATTGTTTGGATAAATTTATTTTTCAAGGGCCTTTTTGGCCATGATGAATATGGTCAGTCATTACAAACTTTGCAGCATACCTTTTCAGCTAGCTACTGGCCAAATATCAACACCTTTTTTAATATTCAAAACATTTTTTATTTAAATATTCAAATTTGATTCCCGAGACCTTAGATGACAGTCAAAGTCACTTTTGATCTCGTAATTTGTATTAATTCAGCTAGCAAGTCACTGAACAAATATCATATCTCTATGCTTCTTAATTCTTCATTAGAAGTCGTTTTAGACTTTTACAAAATTAACCAGTGACCTTTAATACAAGTCAAGGTAAAATCCCCCCCCCCCACCCCCCACCCCCCCGGACTCATTTTTGTTCCCATTGGTAAGACCCAGAACCACCTTCGAGGGCTTCATACACAATCCATTGGTGTTTTGCCAATTTAATGTGTATCAGTTACAATTGTAAGCAGATACATCTGATCTGTAATATCCTATTATTTTCAGATCCTGGCCAGACTGAGGGACATACTTCCAACATGCATTATGGACTTTTTAATAGACAAAGTATATTCATCAGGTATTCCTCTGGAAGGCAGCTAACTTTGAAAAGTACTCAAGACAATATAACGCAGACATGTAAAAATGGACCACTGGACAAGACCTATTGATGTATTTACTCTGCCTAGTCCAGTGATTGGTGATCAGTGAACAGCCTCAATCCTTTAAGTAGCAGAACATAGCTATTTATATATCAATTTTAGAAAATTCAGTATGTGCATGTACATATTACACAAGTCAGAATACACTGTATTTAGTCATAAGTCGGAGTTATATGAAACATATAGGATCTGCATTAGGTTCTAAAACAGTTTGTTTGTTGGTTGGTTAGCTCACTTGCCCTTCGGTGAGCTTATGTCATGGTGCGGCGTCCGTCGTCCGCCAACTTTTCCTCTAAACAACTTCTCCTGAAGGACGGACAGGCCTAGAGTCATGATATTTGGCTGAAAGCTTTGTTGGTAGGAGCCCGACAAAGTTTGCGAGCGAAAATTACCTTGACCTACTTTCAAGGTCACAGGGGTCAAATATGTCAAAAACTTCAAACGACTTCTTCTAAAGGACTAAAAGGTATAAAATCTTTATATTTTGCTGGTGGCTTTCTGGGATAGAGCCCAACAATGTTTGAGAACGAAAATGACCTTCACCTATATTCAAGGTCACAGGGGTCAAATGTGTCAAAACACTTCAAACAACTTCTTCTGAAGAACTAAAAGGTATAGAGTCTTTATATTTGGCTGGTTTCTTCCTGGGATCGAGCCCAACAAAGTTTAAGAATGAAAATGGCCTTGACTTTCTTTCAAGGTCACAGCGGTCAAACTCTTTAAAAGACTTCTTCTGAAGAACTAAAAAGTATAGAAGCTTCATATTTGGCTCATGGTTTCTGGAGATACAGCCGGGCAAAGTTTGAGAATTAAAATGACCTTGACCTTCTTTCAAAGACACAGGGGTCAAATATGTCAAAAACATCAAATGACTTATTCTGAATAATCGAAAGTCATAAAATTTTAATATTTGGCTCGTGACTTCCTGGGGTAGGGCTCACCAATGTTTTCGAATGAAAATGACCTCAACCTACTTTAGAGGTAACAGAGGTCAACAACATTTTAAAGGATTTGTTCTTAAGAACAAAAAGGAACGGATTCTTAAGATTTGGCTGGTAGCTTTTTGGAATAGAGCTAACCAATTTGAGAAGGAAAATGACATTGACCTACTTACAAGGTCGCAGGGGAAAATATGTCAAGCTACTTCTGAAGAAGAATAAAAAAGCATAGAATCTTACAATAATATTTGGCTGTTAGTTTCAACAGATGGAGCCGACAAAGTTTGCGAGGGAAATATTTAAGTGCAATATAATAATTAATAAGAATATTTTGCTATGACTGCTTAAATATTCAGGTGAGCGATACAGGCCCTCTGGGCCTCTTGTTTTTGTTTAACGGTCCATCGACAACTATGGTCATTTAGGGCAATGGTGATTTTTTGAAACTCGACACTCGAAAGTCATTATCACGAATGTAAGACTGTTGGACATTTATAATACATGTTTATAGGTCCTACATGTCGGAGACCTTGAATACATAGTATCTAGTCCTAAATGAGAGAAATGCACTAGATATTGTATAGTTCCTACATAGTTACAAAGTATATGTAGGTATCGGATTGTTGCTGTCTCATTGTTAGCCGATTCTGACTGTTAAGTCATAAAACTTTGGAGTGTCTGTTGACAGTGTGCCCGTATCAATGTTACTCTTATTAACAATAAAGCATTGTGTTCTGCAAACTGCTTCTTTATTTCAACAAAAAATTCACAACAACTAAAACAAGACAAATCTAATGGCCACAGACTGGGACATCAATACTGTACAAAGGACTGAACCATCTGATGATAGATGAAGATGTCATAGTTCCAGACCCTGCAGTGTCACATACAAACAGCTGTACAAAGGACTGGGAACCATCAGATGATAGATGATGATGTCATAGCTCCAGACCCTGTAGTGTCACATACAAACAGCTGTACAAAGGACTGGGAACCATCTGATGATAGATGATGATGTCATAGCTCCAGACCCTGTAGTGTCACATACAAACAGCTGTTCAAAGGACTGTGAACCATCTGATGATAGATGATGATGTCATAGCTCCAGACCCTGTAGTGTCACATACAAACAGCTGTACAAAGGACTGTGAACCATCCGATGATAGATGATGATGTCATAGTTCCAGACCCTGTAGTGTCACATACAAACAGCTGTTCAAAGGACTGGGAACCATCCGATGATAGATGATGATGTCATAGTTCCAGACCCTGTAGGTCAGTGTCAGATACAAACAGCCTGATCTCCCATACACAACCTACAGTAACACACTGTTCTGTACATAACATGTGTATACAACTTACTTTCAATGTATGATTGGCTTTGTGTATAATAATCCTTAATTGTTATAGCTCTTTACTTCCCACCTTGTCCCGAATCCTTACAGCTCATCAGTACACAACCCTGTCTCGAATCCTTACAGCTCATCAGTACACAACCCTGTCCCGAATCCTTACAGCTCATCAGTACACAACCCTGTCTCGAATCAGGATAGATCCTGATTACTTTTGTTGTTTTTTAATTGTTACTGGCTAAAGGTGTTAAGTCAGTATGCTACACAGAGCATTGTCTTTTACTGAAATTCATGAACTAGGTATTAATGTTAAATGTCAATATCATAATAGTAACTGTTCCCTTAGTCAGAATTACCAAATGGTTTAAAAAAAAAGGTGATGACAAATGGGAAACGATCATAATTCATAATTATATTAAGGTATAAAAGTCACAAAAAATCTCAAATAAAATCAAAGCTCAATTCTACCCCNCCCCCCCCCCCCCCCCCCCAGCTATCATCATAAGGCCATTACAATAGTATAACTTCTGTGGTTAGTGGACCCTTGATACCACTGAACACATGTAAGGTTCGACTTTCTACACAGACCCCAGCTATCATCATAAGGCCATTACAATAGTATAACTTCTGTGGCCAGTAAGGTTCGACTGTCTACACACACCCCAGCTCAAATAATCACCAGTGTACAGTATCCAAAGCTAACCCTATAACGGAACCCAACATCAGAAGTTTTAATTTCATCCTACTGGTAAAATTGTTTCTAATTCATGTAACTTTCAAAAAGATGTCACAACCATTAATTTATCATAGCAATGCGCAAACAAAAAACCTCAATCATATGTCAAGTGTTAAGAGAAAAAGAAAAAGAACATACATTTCACTAACACATCTAATTATAGTTCAAGTGAGGTGCATGGCAATGTTTAAGAATCGCTTTGCCTTATATGCGGAACACCTACAAAAAACGTCCACAAACTCTTTGAGCATATATCAAATTCAATGATACAAAGATGAAAAGTCTAAGTGAAACTTTGTTTGCATTACACAGATATGAAATTTGGTCCAAAACTAGATTTAAAAGATTGTGACCATTGGATTCAAATAACAAATGCTAGAATGTATGTTTTAGATGTTATGAAAATATTTCCAAATGAACTCTATCTTTCCATCATTATGCTTGAGAAAGATCACTAGATGATCAACTGAACCGCAGGAGAAAACAAAGCATAATTTCCTATAGGACATCAAAGGGTATAACGAAATAGATGGAACATATATTGCTATACATTTCTGTAGCTATGATCAAAAGAAAATACAACAGACTTGATTGCAGTTGCATATGAATGCGTAGTTACCTTATAATCTCGACCTTCTCTCACGTAGGATATCACAATGATAGCGGAAGGCACACAAAATAGCTGGCATACGTACCGGCCACTTTACTTTTGCACAACAATGAATAAATGATCTGTCACAGACAAATACAAAGATATATCAAAATGTGAATGTACCAAACGAATTGCAACACATTTCTGGTTATCAGAAAAATTAATAATATTTTCCTGTATCAATATGCAAAATTCCAAGCTCCAAAAAAGCACTAACCGCCTTGGTCACTTTGCAGTTAACGAAAAATCTGACATGTATACGAAAAATCACAAAATGAAAAAAATGTTTGATGTCTGGGTCTGGCTCAACCATGTTTTTTAGTATTCATATCTTCAACATGACAAATTTAACAACCCTATTTCTGGGATTAATTTTCTTATTGATCAGAATTAAAAGTAAACGAGATTAATTTTTTCTCAATGTGATGTTTCCACTATACCCTGAAACAGCTACACCCCCACATGTACAGGACATGCTCACGAGATAACTAAAGGCCAACCGGCTGATACAGACCCCAAACATAACACACATCAAAAATCTCAAAATCAAACTTCACAAACAAACCAAGGTGCCTCTTTTGCATATGTATACAATAACTATCAGCTGATTAAATGTTAATGAAATAACACTGATATCTATATGCTCAATACATATGCCTTTTGTTGCATATTTGCCAATTATTGAATGTTATAAAATGTGACTGACTGTTTCTTTATAAATACCATTGTAATGAAATGTAGGCATTATCTTATCTGAGTTTGGAATGTATTTACATGAATTCCTTGCAATGGTACATTGTAGATTACATAGAGATGACTTGTCTGAATATTTATCCACACAACGAGTTATGAATACTGTTATGTCATTACCAGGTAATTGTTTATAGAGTTGGTGAATATTCAGTCAGGGTGGTAAACCTATCACAAACATGACCGGGTACAGATAACAACAAGTTTATATAGGTGATTATGCCAGTAGAAATTTCAATACTATGGCAATGTTTTGAACACAATACCAGCAGATATGTCATAATTTGTAAGCATTTATATCTGTTACATGTTGTAATGTTAAATGAAGTGGTAATGAAAAGATATACTTTATTTTAATACTTAAAACCATCTTTGTGAGAGGGCCTAGTAAGTTGTAAGAACTTGTGCCCAATACTTTTGACTATTCAACGTCAATAAAATATGTTCAAATGAAAACCATTTTACACCAAGTCAAAGTCTATTTCAACATGATTAACAGGGAATGAAACCGGAAAATTGAGGAACCAAAGGTTTGGCATTCTGAACTAATTATCAAGGAAAGTCAATACAAAAAGTTATTATAAACCCAAATTCAACTTGTTCTAAACTTTCAGAGATTACCCCTCCTATCCTATAATGAAATAAGTTCACAATGAAAGTGTACTCAACCACATCATATATTTGATCAATTCTCTATTCTGCAGTCTATAAAGTTTGTAAACAAATCTGAGAAACATCAAAATTACTCCACACCTGCATCAAAAAAATCAGAAGGTCCTGCCAGTAATTATCCTCCTGAAGATCCTTTCCAATGTTAAACATTCTCGAAAACTCTATACAAGTAATGTACCTAAAAATTACAAGTACATTTTACTCTAGGAAACATAAATCAGATAAAAACACAAAAAATACAATAATACATCATTGATATCTATATAGACAGTGATATAAAATGAAGCTTGATCATTATCTCAATCAGATTTGGACATTCTACAAGTCTTAACCTAATATACATGTATACAACCTGTGTTCAACACAATTACACTTTCTTGTAGATAAAAATAACTTATATCAAATTGTTCAATATCATTTAATTTTTAAGGTGACCCCCCAATTCTCACCCTGATTATGCTCTTTATTTACAGTTAAAACACTTAACTCACATGGCTGTGGATACCAGATACTAGGTAGATAGCTCTGGACAGTAACCATGGCTGTGGATACCAGATACTAGGTAGATAGCTCTGGACAGTAATCATGGCTGTGGATACCAGATACTAGGTAGATAGCTCTGGACAGTAATCATGGCTGTGGATACCAGATACTAGGTAGATAGCTCTGGACAGTAATCATGGCTGTGGATACCAGATACTAGGTAGATAGCTCTGGACAGTAATCATGGCTGTGGATACCAGATACTAGGTAGATAGCTCTGGACAGTAATCATGGCTGTGGATACCAGATACTAGGTAGATAGCTCTGGACAGTAATCATGGCTGTGGATACCAGATACTAGGTAGATAGCTCTGGATAGTAACCATGAAACAATTCTACAGTAAACATCTTTATCATGTCATGAAGGTTTACTTATAAACAAAATGAAAGAACAGCCATAGTTACAAATTATGACAATATCTTATAATATGACAAGAGGACAAATTTCTTGTCCTGTTTGATCTACACAGGAAGTATTACAAGTGCTAGTTTGTCTTCTGAACTACTTACTACTATATAAGTAAATTTTGATTTGGATATCATCACCACATATACACACAGTGTTCTATTCACCCCACAAACAGTGTTCTAGTCACCACACCGGAATCACACAAACACTTAGGTGATGCTATTCTTTCATACTTCCACGGAATGTAATACTTCCAAATTGTTATTCTTTTCATTGATCCTTGATATCAGATACATGTACATTCCTGTTTTATAATTGTATGAGCTACTTCCCATGTAGCTGAACTCATTACTGAGTGCTGTGTGCTTTGGCACACAGAGACAAATGTCCTCATACTAAACCTACAGTTATCTCCCTTACCTTATGGGTCAATATACATCAAAACAATTCTAGTAAACCTTAAAAGCATTTGTTCAGAGTAGAAAGCACTTGCAAGCTTGTTATGATTTAAATTATTGTTCACATGACATAATTAATGCAAAATTTTGAAAATAAAAGTTAACTTGATATGAGCTATTAGGAATCCCAGACCTTATTTGTAAATATTCAGCAAAGCTAGCTGTAGTGTAATAAGTTAACATCCTGCTTATTTCCCATGATAAACTGGCATAAATGATGTCTATGTAATGAAGCTGACATAAATAATAACTTATATGTTAATAGTTGTACAACAAAACATGATGGTACTGCAATGAATGTTAAATATTTAAAAACTGAAACTTCATTAAACAAAATGAGTTAATGTTATTACAGTATAGGTATGATATGTGTCAATGTGAGCAATGATATCTGTACATGTAGGTAGCAGTTGTTTTGTGTCTTGTTACTTTATCCAGTGTTCTCTGGTACCTTCTTGTGTTCTCTCTCATGTCTGCAATAAACAAAAGACCAGAACTTAAGCATATTTGAAAAAATACCAAGTATGTTGTACCTGTATAAAACTGGTTTTACTAAATCTAACAATGCTGTAACATCTATCTTTGGTGTTTTTATACATTTTCACTGATCTTAACATACCACACACAATCAAATTATACATCACAGGTATACAAATCACATACTTTATCAATATGGTTTCATTCTGTTTCATCATCTTGCTAAAATACAGAAAGAAGCTCATGGGAAATTGTTAAAAAGGTAGTTAAGATTTTTTTTGTGGAAATACTATCAGACTTTGACTGTGTTCAGGCTAATATCAAAAAGAGTTTTTGTTGAACTCACCAACAGGACATCAGGAGGGGCTGTTTAAGAACTCAAGTTTGCCACGCATGTCGTCAGATATACTTCCTCCTTGTTCAACCTCCTGCAGCTGTGAAATCAATAGTTACTTAATTAAATTACATATGTCCCTGACCAACAAGAGAATGTGAGCAAGGCTAGCAATGTTTCTGACCAACAAGAGAATGTGAGCAAGGCTAACAATGTTCCTGACCAACAAGAGAATGTGAGCAAGGCTAACAACGTCCCTGACCAACAAGAGAATGTGAGCAAGGCTAACAATGCCCCTGACCAACAAGAGAATGTGAGCAAGGCTAGCAATGCCCCTGACCAACAAGATAATGTCAAGCAAGGCTAACAACGTCCCTGACCAACAAGAGAATGTGAGCAAGGCTAACAATGCCCCTGACCAACAAGAGAATGTGAGCAAGGCTAGCAATGTCCCTGACCAACAAGATAATGTCAAGCAAGGCTAACAACGTCCCTGACCAACAAGATAATGTCAAGCAAGGCTAACAACGTCCCTGACCAACAAGATAATGTCAAGCAAGGCTAACAACGTCCCTGACCAACAAGATAATGTCAAGCAAGGCTAACAACGTCCCTGACCAACAAGATAATGTCAAGCAAGGCTAACAACGTCCCTGACCAACAAGATAATGTCAAGCAAGGCTAACAACGTCCCTGACCAACAAGATAATGTCAAGCAAGGCTAACAACGTCCCTGACCAACAAGATAATGTCAAGCAAGGCTAACAATGTCCCTGACCAACAAGATAATGTCAAGCAAGGCTAACAACGTCCCTGACCAACAAGATAATGTCAAGCAAGGCTAACAACGTCCCTGACCAACAAGAGAATGTGAGCAAGGCTAACAACGTCCCTGACCAACAAGAGAATGTGAGCAAGGCTAACAATGCCCCTGACCAACAAGAGAATGTGAGCAAGGCTAACAATGCCCCTGACCAACAAGAGAATGTGAGCAAGGCTAGCAATGCCCCTGACCAACAAGATAATGTCAAGCAAGGCTAACAACGTCCCTGACCAACAAGAGAATGTGAGCAAGGCTAACAATGCCCCTGACCAACAAGAGAATGTGAGCAAGGCTAGCAATGTCCCTGACCAACAAGATAATGTCAAGCAAGGCTAGCAATGTCCCTGACCAACAAGATAATGTCAAGCAAGGCTAACAACGTCCCTGACCAACAAGATAATGTCAAGCAAGGCTAACAATGTCCCTGACCAACAAGATAATGTCAAGCAAGGCTAACAACGTCCCTGACCAACAAGATAATGTCAAGCAAGGCTAACAACGTCCCTGACCAACAAGATAATGTCAAGCAAGGCTAACAACGTCCCTGACCAACAAGATAATGTCAAGCAAGGCTAACAACGTCCCTGACCAACAAGATAATGTCAAGCAAGGCTAACAACGTCCCTGACCAACAAGATAATGTCAAGCAAGGCTAACAACGTCCCTGACCAACAAGATAATGTCAAGCAAGGCTAACAACGTCCCTGACCAACAAGATAATGTCAAGCAAGGCTAACAACGTCCCTGACCAACAAGATAATGTCAAGCAAGGCTAACAACGTCCCTGACCAACAAGATAATGTCAAGCAAGGCTAACAACGTCCCTGACCAACAAGATAATGTCAAGCAAGGCTAACAACGTCCCTGACCAACAAGAGAATGTGAGCAAGGCTAACAATGCCCCTGACCAACAAGAGAATGTGAGCAAGGCTAGCAATGTCCCTGACCAACAAGATAATGTCAAGCAAGGCTAACAACGTCCCTGACCAACAAGATAATGTCAAGCAAGGCTAACAACATCCCTGACCAACAAGATAATGTCAAGCAAGGCAAACAACGTCCCTGACCAACAAGATAATGTCAAGCAAGGCTAACAACGTCCCTGACCAACAAGAGAATGTGAGCAAGGCTAGCAATGCCCCTGACCAACAAGAGAATGTGAGCAAGGCTAACAATGCCCCTGACCAACAAGAGAATGTGAGCAAGGCTAGCAATGCCCCTGACCAACAAGAGAATGTGAGCAAGGCTAGCAATGCCCCTGACCAACAAGAGAATGTGAGCAAGGCTAGCAATGCCCCTGACCAACAAGAGAATGTGAGCAAGGCTAGCAATGCCCCTGACCAACAAGATAATGTCAAGCAAGGCTAACGACGTCCCTGACCAACAAGAGAATGTGAGCAAGGCTAGCAATGCCCCTGACCAACAAGAGAATGTGAGCAAGGCTAACAATGCCCCTGCCGGTTAAAATCCTAATTTATGTAACCACTTGACCTTTGACTGATCATGCCCATATTTGTAACTATCCAAGTTATGTCAAAGGTAAGCCTAACTGTGAAGTATCTGCTGAATCTATCATGAACTATGGTGCTAGAACAATGACAAGGAGCATGACAGACAATCTATATAAGGGCCATTCAAAATCTATGCATTTAATTTTTCATTGTAAACATATCACCATCAGCGAGAAATGTGAGTATGGCCAGCTTTGCAAGCTACATTTTTTTTTATCAATATGAGCAGTCAAAACTTTATAATAACTGATTGAAATCACAATGAGCTAACCACTGTTTGAGTGTGTGGACCTGTTCAAGATCAATGGTTTGACTCAGATATATTTGACCTGTATGAGGTCAGCAAGTTGACTTTGATTTACTCAAAGGCACTGTATGAAATCTGTCAGTTGACTAAGAAGTATATATCCCGAGTACCAGATCAGAGGTTGTCTAAGAGGTATATCTCCCCAGTACGAGATAAGAAGGTTGTCTTTGAGGTATATCTCCCCAGTACGAGATCAGAAGGTTGTGTAAGAGGTATATATCCCCAGTACCAGATCAGAAGGTTGTCTAAGAGGTATATCTCCCCAGTACGAGATCAGAGGGTGTCTAAGAGGTATATCTCCCCAGTACGAGATCAGAAGGTTGTCTGAGAGGTATATCTCCCCAGTACCAGATCAGAAGGTTGTCTGAGATGTATATATCCCCAGTACCAGATCAGAAGGTTGTCTAAGAGGTATATCTCCCCAGTACGAGATCAGAAGGTTGTGTAAGAGATATATCTCCCCAGTACGAGATCAGAAGGTTGTGTAAGAGATATATCTCCCCAGTACGAGATCAGAAGGTTGTCTGAGAGGTATATCTCCCCAGTACGAGATCAGAAGGTTGTCTTAGAGGTATATATCCCCAGTACGAGATCAGAAGGTTGTGTAAGAGGTATATCTCCCCAGTGCCAGATCAGAAGGTCGTCTAAGAAGTATATCTCCCCAGAACCAGATCAGAAGGTCGTCTAAGAGGTATATCTCCCAAGAACGAGATCAGGCTGTCTAAGAAGTATATCTCACCTGATTGAGGTACATCTCACCTGTACGATTATCAGCGAGTATACTCGGGAGAATTAGAGAATAATTTACTTGCATGAGATCTGTGAGTTGACTCAGTAGAATTAGAAAATAACTTACTTGCATGAGATCTGTGAGTTGACTCAGTGCGAGTTTAAGAGTGGATAGTTCCTCCATGAGCTGGCCGTAAGTGTTGGCATCAATGACAACCACTTCCCTGCCGTCCATCTGATCAGAAGGTTGTCTAAGAAGCATATCTCCCTAGTACCAGATCGGAAGGGTGTCTAAGAAGTATATCTCCCCAGTACCAGATCGGAAGGGTGTCTAAGAAGTATATCTCCCTAGTACCAGATCAGAAGGTTGTCCAAGAAGTACATCTCCCCAGTACGAGATCAGAAGGTCGTCTAAGAGGTATATCTCCCCAGTACAAGATCAGAAGGTTGTCTAAGAAGTCTATCTCCCCAGTACGAGATCAGAAAGTTGTGTAAGAGTTATCTCCCCAGTACGAGATAAGAAGGTTGTCTGAGAGGTATGTCTCCCCAGTACGAGATCAGAAGGCTGTGTAAGAGGTATATCTCCCCAGTGCCAGATCAGAGGGTTGTCTAAGAAGTATATCTCCCCAGTACCAGATCAGAGGGTTGTCTAAGAAGTATATCTCCCCTGTTTGAGGTACATCTCACCTGTACGATTATCAGCGAGTATACTCGGGAGAATTAGAGAATAATTTACTTGCATGAGATCTGTGAGTTGAAGATCAGAAGGTTGTCTAAGAAGCATATCTCCCCAGTACGAGATCAGAAAGTTGTGTAAGAGTTATCTCCCCAGTACGAGATAAGAAGGTTGTCTGAGAGGTATGTCTCCCCAGTACGAGATCAGAAGGCTGTGTAAGAGGTATATCTCCCCAGTGCCAGATCAGAGGGTTGTCTAAGAAGTATATCTCACCTGTTTGAGGTACATCTCACCTGTACGATTATCAGCGAGTAGACTCGGGAGAATTAGTGATTAACTTACTTGCATGAGATCTGTGAGTTGAAGATCAGAAGGTTGTCTAAGAAGCATATCTCCCCAGTACGAGATCAGAAAGTTGTGTAAGAGTTATCTCCCCCTAGTACGAGATCAGAAGGTTGTGTAAGAGATATATCTCCCCAGTACGAGATAGAAGGTTGTCTTTGAGGTATAGCTCCCCAGTACGAGATCAGAAAGTTGTGTAAGAGTTATCTCCCCCTAGTACGAGATCAGAAGGTTGTCGTTGAGGTATATCTCACCAGTACGAGATCAGAAGGTTATCTAAGAGTTATCTTCCCAGTACAAGATCAGAAGGTTGTCTAAGAAGTATCTCTCCCCAGTACCAGATCAGAGGGTTGTCTAAGAAGTATATCTCACCTGTTTGAGGTACATCTCACCTGTACGATTATCAGCGAGTAGACTCGGGAGAATTAGTGATTAACTTACTTGCATGAGATCTGTGAGTTGACTCAGTAGAATTAGAGAATAACTTACTTGCATGAGATCTGTGAGTTGAAGATCAGAAGGTTGTCTAAGATGTATATCTCCCCAGTACCAGATCGGAAGGGTGTCTAAGAAGTATATCTCCCTAGTACCAGATCGGAAGGGTGTCTAAGAAGTATATCTCCCCAGAACCAGATCAGAAGGTTGTCTAAAAAGTATATCTCCCCAGTACGAGCTCAGAAGGTTGTCTAAGAGTTATCTTCCCAGTACAAGATCAGAAGGTTGTGTAAGAAGTATATCTCCCCAGTACGAGATAGAAGGTTGTCTTTGAGGTATAGCTCCCCAGTACGAGATCAGAAGGTTGTGTAGAGGTATATCTCCCCAGTACCAGATCAGAAGGTCGTCTAAGAGGTATATCTCCCAAGAACGAGATCAGGTTGTCTAAGAAGTATATCTCACCTGTTTGAGGTACATCTCACCTGTACGATTATCAGCGAGTAGACTCGGGAGAATTAGAGAATAACTTACTTGCATGAGATCTGTGAGTTGACTCAGTAGAATTAGAGAATAACTTACTTGCATGAGATCTGTGAGTTGACTCAGTAGAATTAGAGAATAACTTACTTGCATGAGATCTGTGAGTTGACTCAGTGCGAGTTTAAGAGTGGATAGTTCCTCCATGATCTGGCCGTAAGTGTTGGCATCAATGACAACCACTTCCTTGCCGTCCATCTGCATGGTCTTCACATCCTGCAGGCTGGGGTACATTGTCAGGGACGGCTCCGAGTCAAAATGCCTACAAAGATGAGGACCCACATCTATACATGTTCAATGCTCTACAGTACATGGTTATATATGGGAAAACTGATACTTGACCCCATTCGTCTGTTGTCTCTGATTTCATCTCATGATTTTTTACACCAGGTTTCATTTCTTGTATTTTCTTTAGAAGCCAATAATATTGATAATTCCATAAAGGCCAAGAAACGTACCTGTTAAAGTGATCATCCAGCATGAAACAGTTGAATTAAAGGAAGACAATGGATTTAAGGCAGAGTCTAATAAAAAAAAATTATACAGAAAATACCCCTCAGATATTTATCTTCTTGTTAAACTTAAAGAGACATTTTGTAAAAAAGACAATTACGATAGTTATTTATTTTCATATGAAACTCTTTGCTATAGTAAATGGGTGAGCAAACTCAAGTCAGGACAATGCTAACTAAATGGAACACTTCCTTCATGATACAATACAGAATGCTTGCACTCCCAACCTTAATGTATTGTGTACCACCTCTAAACATTTTATCTTGAAAACGATTCATCACATGTTTTCCATCACAACACTATCATCAGCAGAGTTATATTATTATGGCAATAATCTGACATACACAAATACAGGTGCTATGTTGGCAAGTGTTTGTGAGTCGGTAAAGTCCTGACCTTAGATCTGGTTTATAACACACTCTAATTAGTCTTTGGCAAGGCAGTGATAAACATGAGAAAACTATGATGGCCTTCCAAGTGGTGAATAAGAAACACTTCTACACAAGTTTGTAAATAAAACATTTCAATTAATATTAATATTTTACTCTGACTGTGTCTTGTGAATATACTGACAGGCATACAAATGTACACATGCTGCCAGTGACATGGTTCAGTCAACAATGTAAACATGCTACCAGTGACATGGTTCAGTCAACAATGTACACATGCTGCCAGTGTCATGGTTTAGTGGACAATGTACACATACTGACAGTGTCATGGTTTAGTGGACAATGTACACATGCTGACAGTGTCATGGTTTAGTGGACAATGTACACATGCTGACAGTGTCATGGTTTAGTGGACAATGTACACATGCTGACAGTGTCATGGTTTAGTGGACAATGTAAACATGCTGCCAGTGTCATGGTTCAGTTAACAATGTACACATACTGACAGTGTCATGGTTTAGTGGACAATGTACACATGCTGACAGTGTCATGGTTCAGTTAACAATGTAAACATGCTGACAGTGTCATGGTTTAGTGGACAATGTACACATACTGACAGTGTCATGGTTTAGTGGACAATGTACACATGCTGACAGTGTCATGGTTTAGTGGACAATGTACACATGCTGACAGTGTCATGGTTTAGTGGACAATGTACACATGCTGACAGTGTCATGGTTTAGTGGACAATGTACACATGCTGACAGTGTCATGGTTTAGTGGACAATGTACACATGCTGACAGTGTCATGGTTTAGTGGACAATGTACACATGCTGACAGTGTCATGGTTTAGTGGACAATGTACACATGCTGACAGTGTCATGGTTTAGTGGACAATGTACACATGCTGACAGTGTCATGGTTTAGTGGACAATGTACACATGCTGACAGTGTCATGGTTTAGTGGACAATGTACACATGCTGACAGTGTCATGGTTTAGTGGACAATGTACACATGCTGACAGTGTCATGGTTTAGTGGACAATGTACACATGCTGACAGTGTCATGGTTTAGTGGACAATGTACACATGCTGACAGTGTCATGGTTTAGTGGACAATGTACACATGCTGACAGTGTCATGGTTTAGTGGACAATGTACACATGCTGACAGTGTCATGGTTTAGTGGACAATGTACACATGCTGACAGTGTCATGGTTTAGTGGACAATGTACACATGCTGACAGTGTCATGGTTTAGTGGACAATGTACACATGCTGACAGTGTCATGGTTTAGTGGACAATGTACACATGCTGACAGTGTCATGGTTTAGTGGACAATGTACACATGCTGACAGTGTCATGGTTTAGTGGACAATGTACACATGCTGACAGTGTCATGGTTTAGTGGACAATGTACACATGCTGACAGTGTCATGGTTTAGTGGACAATGTACACATGCTGACAGTGTCATGGTTTAGTGGACAATGTACACATGCTGACAGTGTCATGGTTTAGTGGACAATGTACACATGCTGACAGTGTCATGGTTTAGTGGACAATGTACACATGCTGACAGTGTCATGGTTTAGTGGACAATGTACACATGCTGACAGTGTCATGGTTTAGTGGACAATGTACACATGCTGACAGTGTCATGGTTTAGTGGACAATGTACACATGCTGACAGTGTCATGGTTTAGTGGACAATGTACACATGCTGACAGTGTCATGGTTTAGTGGACAATGTACACATGCTGACAGTGTCATGGTTTAGTGGACAATGTACACATGCTGACAGTGTCATGGTTTAGTGGACAATGTACACATGCTGACAGTGTCATGGTTTAGTGGACAATGTACACATGCTGACAGTGTCATGGTTTAGTGGACAATGTACACATGCTGACAGTGTCATGGTTTAGTGGACAATGTACACATGCTGACAGTGTCATGGTTTAGTGGACAATGTACACATGCTGACAGTGTCATGGTTTAGTGGACAATGTACACATGCTGACAGTGTCATGGTTTAGTGGACAATGTACACATGCTGACAGTGTCATGGTTTAGTGGACAATGTACACATGCTGACAGTGTCATGGTTTAGTGGACAATGTACACATGCTGACAGTGTCATGGTTTAGTGGACAATGTACACATGCTGACAGTGTCATGGTTTAGTGGACAATGTACACATGCTGACAGTGTCATGGTTTAGTGGACAATGTACACATGCTGACAGTGTCATGGTTTAGTGGACAATGTACACATGCTGACAGTGTCATGGTTTAGTGGACAATGTACACATGCTGACAGTGTCATGGTTTAGTGGACAATGTACACATGCTGACAGTGTCATGGTTTAGTGGACAATGTACACATGCTGACAGTGTCATGGTTTAGTGGACAATGTACACATGCTGACAGTGTCATGGTTTAGTGGACAATGTACACATGCTGACAGTGTCATGGTTTAGTGGACAATGTACACATGCTGACAGTGTCATGGTTTAGTGGACAATGTACACATGCTGACAGTGTCATGGTTTAGTGGACAATGTACACATGCTGACAGTGTCATGGTTTAGTGGACAATGTACACATGCTGACAGTGTCATGGTTTAGTGGACAATGTACACATGCTGACAGTGTCATGGTTTAGTGGACAATGTACACATGCTGACAGTGTCATGGTTTAGTGGACAATGTACACATGCTGCCAGTGTCATGTTTCAGTTAACAATGTACACATGCTGCCAGTGTCATGTTTCAGTTAACAATGCACACATGCTGCCAGTGTCATGGTTTAGAGGACAATGTACACATGCTGACAGTGTCATGGTTTAGAGGACAATGTACACATACTGACAGTGTCATTGTTTAATGGACAATGTACACATGCTGACAGTATCATGGTTTAGTGGACAATGTACACATGCGGCCAGTGTCATGGTTTAGAGGACAATGTACACCTGCTGACAGTGTCATGGTTTAGAGGACAATGTACACCTGCTGACAGTGTCATGGTTTAGTGGACAAGTGTCATGGTTTAGTGGACAATGTACACCTGCTGACAGTGTCATGGTTTAGAGGACAATGAACACATACTGACAGTGTCATTGTTTAATGGACAATGTACACATGCTGACAGTATCATGGTTTAGTGGACAATGTACACATGCTGCCAGTGTCATGTTTCAGTTAACAATGCACACATGCTGACAGTGTCATGGTTTAGAGGACAATGAACACATACTGACAGTGTCATTGTTTAATGGACAATGTACACATGCTGACAGTATCATGGTTTAGTGGACAATGTACACATGCGGCCAGTGTCATGGTTTAGAGGACAATGTACACATACTGACAGTGTCATGGTTTAGTGGACAATGCACACAGTTTCAGTTAACAATGCACACATGCTGCCAGGGTCATGGTTTAGAGGACAATGTACACATGCTGACAGTGTCATGGTTAAGTGGACAATGTACACATGCTGACAGTGTCATGGCTTAGTGGACAATGTACACATGCTGACAGTGTACATTGTTTAGTGGACAATGTACACATGCTGCCAGTGTCATGTTTCAGTTGACAATGCACACATGCTGCCAGTGTCATGGTTTAGAGGACAATGTACACATGCTGACAGTGTCATCGTTTAGTGGACAATGTACACATGCTGACATTGTCATGGTTTAGTGGACAATGTACACATACTGACAGTGTCATGGTTTAGTGGACAATGTAAACGTGCTGACAGTGTCATGGTCTCTGAAATCGTCGAGCAGTAGAGTTTTTCAATTAAAACCCAGACAGGTGCATTTATGTTCCTACAATAGAGAAGCACTTATGTTCGTACAATCGAGAATGAGTGTCTCAAACTTGGTCTGATAGCTAAATTATCATTGTTTATACAAGTATATTTATGCTTCAATTTGTTTTCTTCATTGTACACATGCTGACAGTGTCATGGTTTAGAGGGCAATGTACACATACTGACAGTGTCATTGTTTAATGGACAATGTACACATGCTGACAGTGGCATGGTTTAGTGGACAATGTAAACATGCTGACAGTGCCATGGTCTCTGAAATCGTCAAGCAGTAGAGTTTTTCAATTAAAACCCAGACAGTTGCATTTATGTGCCTACAATAGAGAAGCACTTATGTTCGTACAATCGAGAATGAGTGTCTCAAACTTGGTCTGATAGCTTAATTATCATTGTTTTTACAAGTATATTTATGCTTCAATTTGTTTTCTTCATTATAAGTGCTCCACTTCATTTTGATTTATATAACTTAAGTATACACAACTTACTTATTACAGTGTCATGGTTTAGTGGACAATGT